CCCCAACCAGTCCGTCTCTTAAATGATCCAAATTGTGTCACTCAACACTCGTATTCAGTGACACATCAACAGCTGAGCGCAAGAAGTGACTATATCCACTTTTCACAGTTTCGAGAAAAAAAGTCTGAAATGCTAACGATAATATTGAACGCTGTATAACTTTCTCGTAAAAAAAAAAGTAACGTCTATATTAATATCTCAAAACCGAATCAAGCACGGCTTAGATACATGTATTTACAGAGGGAAAAGAGCGGCTAAATTAAATCTCTCCACCCATTTCGGTTACCGTACTCTATATTTCGACCAAAAGTGGATAGATCTAGAGTCACTTCTTGCCCTCAGCCATCGATACGTACTTATAGTTTTGTTTTAGTAGGAGTTTTACGGTAGTTGCAACACAATGAGGTCATATGCGTGCCGAAAATTAGGGGTGTAACAAGAGAGTAACAAACAAACAAACAAACAAAAAAACAAAACAAAAAAAAAGAAGGGGAGATAAGGACGATAGATGTTTGATAGGAAAGAAGAAGCAAGAAGCAAACCACACCAGAGCACCCGGCAACCACCCATTTGTATGCGATTTCTTTGGATTCTACACGACACGTAGATCTACATCTCTTCAACGTTGGTTGTTCAAAGTTCAAATTCAAGAGGCAGGACCAAGGAACAGAAGTCCTAGTCTGAAGGAACCAGGCAGAAAACGATAATTAAAAAAAACAACAACTATAAACAGGTAGCAGGACCCTGTGTAACAACGTTGTTTCTCTTTTTTTTTACGACTTGGAAAAACAGATAAAAGAGCTGCTTGATTAAAATCTCACTACCCATTATCGGTTACTCCATTTCGACCAAAAGTGGATACAGCATAGATATAAACCATTACTCTCTATTCACTTCTTGCGCTGAGCCTTCGACATATTGTGCTAGTGACATGTTCTTCTGTGAAAAAAATATACAAGACAGCCATTCTCAGTCCCAGAACCCCCCGTGGAGAACATTCTCGGCTGTTTAAATCCTCGCCGCAATAACGATAACACATGTATTAACAATTATTGAAGTACGGTAACTTCAATAACAACATCATCATCAAAAACAACAACAACCAGACAAGGTTGCGCGAAAAAGTTGAAAGAATGGGGGAAAGCAGAAAAAAGACCCCACACCCAAAAAACAGCAATTACCCCCCCCCCCAAAAAAAAAAAGCAAACAACAAAACAAAACACAAAACCCCCACCAAACAAACAAACAAAGAGACAAAAGAAAAGCAACAAACAAACCACCAAAAAACCCTTAGAAAATCGACGCCTGTATCCTTTTTGCTAACCCCTAGGGTATTTTACTCAAACATCACGAGGGCAAACAAACTATTGCACACGTAATTTTCCACGTAACACAACTCAATACAACAACACAACACTCATTAGGGGCACTATTCTTCAGGCGTCTTCACAGGCACACGGCAATGAGTAGTACTCCCATTGAAATGTAATTGTAGGCTATTAATTGTAGTTGTTAGTTGGCCGTTGAATTCTTCAGCCACAAGCGCCTCTTTGTGCTGCACTCAGCGTGTCTCGCCCAAGGGCAAACTCAAGTGGCCATTACCACACACGTTGCCTATTATATTATTTGTTGCTCTAAATTAGTCTAAAAGCTGCCGGTTCAGCTGACCATTGACCATTCGTTGAGAACACGAGCTCTCTGACATTTTGACATCTTGACCACTGCCCCCCCCCCCCCCTCCCAATACACACACAATTCTTTACCCAAGCCGACAGGATGAAATCTTCATTTCGTAACTCACGATGCTTTATAATAAAAATAATGTACATGATGTCGATGTGGCTTGGGTTTTGAACAAGAGGATTCTGAGAAAAAATCCTGCTAGTTTTGATTTCTCAGAATAGAAATTAGAATTTTTGTCGAATCTGTACAAAATACACATCACTACTCTCTATTTATTGTGGTGGCATTTTCTCTTTCTTCTTGAGCCATTTTTCTTCTTCTTCTTCTTCAGACATTGACGATCATGGTACCCAACTCCTTCCTGTTGTCTGTCTTCTTTATCAGCTCGGCTTTTCTTTTTGAGACATTCGTTGCAAAGTTGTTCAGGCGCTTTGTGTACGGTATGTTGTTCTTCGTCTTCCTCTGCTCTTCTTTCACTTTCACTCTATCTTTTCACTTAGCAGCAGTTTCTCCAGTCCAGTTGACACGGTCAAAGAATGGCTCTTGAGCCATTAAAATGAGGCAGCGTGGTGGAATCCGTCAATTTTTGGGCATATGGAGTTATTGGTATTATCTTAAAACTTGTTCACTAGTCTTTATTTGGATGAAAAAAATATCCATTTATCTTGAATACAAGTCGAGATATTTGCGAAAGAAGGAGGTGGGGGTCACCTTTTTTCAGAGGTAAAATTAGTGGAAAAATGGCGCCAAAGATTAGTTATTTCCTTAGCTTAAGAGTCCATGGTAACTGAAAATTTACATTTTCGTACCTTTAATCAACGCTTTCCAGAAAAATCCTCATAGAAATGAGTTCTTTAATGGGCATGAAAGGCGTTGAGCCAAAAAACAAAAATTTGAAAAAAATTCACAAACCTGCGGAAAAATGCAAGTCTCTTCACTTTGATTATTTTGACGAGAGCCTGATTCCACCACGCTGCCTCACTTATTAATATTAAGCCCAGTTTATTCATCCCTGTCGTTACTGCAACTTGCCATCTTTGGAGTTTATTTAGTGCTTAGACTGTACTGTATACTTTGCTGTGTAGTATTTGTGTTAGAACCAGTTACAAGAAGTAAAGTTTGGACGTCAGATGTCCAAAGAAAGAAACCTGGGACCAAACATGTGTCGATAGGGGCGTAAAACATTTACAACAAAAGAAACTTGATGATGTAGTCGACAATCTGGTTCTCTGAATGGAAGGATCATTTCTGAAGCTACATTATGTCTGCGATGTCTTTGGGTTATACACAACACCTACATCTCTTCAACGTTGGTTGTTCAAGTTCAAAGACAAAGGAACAGAAATCCGGGTCTTTTTTTTTTCTTTTGCGTGGGCATTTTACGGCACTTGCAACACAACAAGGTCATACAAGTGCCGAAGAATAAATATATGTGTTACAAGAGACTTACAGAGTAACAAACACAAAAAAGAATGAGGAGAGATTAGGACGATAGATGTTTGATAGGAAAGAAGAAGCAAGAAGCAAACCACACCAGAGCACCCGGCAACCACCCATTTGTATGCAATTTCTTTGGGTTCTACACGACACGTAGATCTACATCTCTTCAACGTTGGTTGTTCAAGTTCAAATTCAAGAGGCAGGACCAAGGAACAGAAGTCCTAGTCTGAAGAAACCACGTGGGATTAAAATTAAAACTATGATCAAGTAGCAGGACCTTGTGTGTGTAACACAGTTGTTTCTTTTTTTCACAGAATACACGGTGGCTGCACTCTTTTTCCCCAACTGTCAGTGTCACCTAGAGTTGAGACACACTGAGACTCGCGACAACTCACACTACACGTGTAAACAACACATAAGTAGAAGAAACCATTGTTATCGGCAATTCTAAAAAATTCCACATCATTTAAAAAAAGTTTTAGTAAGAGTTTTATGACACTTGCAACACAATAAGGTCATATAAGTGCCAAAGAATAGATGTATTACATGTACAAAAGAGTTTTTAGTTTAGTTTAGTATGGGGTTTTACGGCGCTAAGAGTAAAAAACACAAAAGAGGAGGAGAGATTTAAGTGATAGGAAAGAAGGAGCAGACCACACCAGAGCACCCGCCAACCACTCACCGCACATGTAAGCAACTCCTAATTAGAAAAAACCTGGATTACCTTAGCAATTAAAAAAGTTTCTATTCACTTTTAGTGAAATTGTTGGTATTCTTCGTTTTAGTAAAAAGAAGCATATCGACACAATAATGGCCATTTATTCACACAGTGCTGGGAAAAAGTAAGTTTTTGTTTTAGTAGAGGTTTTACGGCGCTCGCAACTGCATAAGGTCATATGAGCGCCAGAAGATTAGAGGTGTTACAAGAGAGTAACAAACATAAAAAAGAAGGAGGGAAGATAAGGACGATAGATGTCTAATAGGAAAGAAGAAGCAAACCACACCAGAGCACCTGCCAACCACCCACGGAAAAGGTAAGACAGACAGACACATCAGAGGGAAAGTAAAGAAGTAGGACCTACCAGTGGCGTACGCCAACCACCCACTTTTTTAAAAGTAAGTTGTACGGCACTTGCAATATAAATAGGTCATATAAGTGGCGATGATTACAAGTATTGCTATTATTAGACAGTAACATTCTTTCCTTCTTGTTTCCAATCAAACATCTCCTATCGTCCTTATCTCCCCTCCTTCTTTTTTGTTTGTTACTCTCTTGTAACACCTCTAATCTTCGGGCGCTCTTATGACCTTATGCAGTTGCGAGCGCCGTAAAACCTCTATTAAAACAAAACAGACAATAATATACATACAACGAAAAGAAGGAAGGGAGATAAGGATGATGGATGTACGATACGAAAGAAGGAGCAAACCACATCCAGCACCCGCCAATTACCCAGCAATTCTGAGAGACTGACGTGAGACTGCTTGATGAGAGAGCAATGAGAAACACATTCACACGATGACAGCCATTTACAGACAGAGTTAAGTTAGTTTTTTTTAGTAGAGGTTTTACGGCACTTGCAACTGCATACGGTCATATGAGCGCCAGAAGATTAGAGGTGTTACAAGGGAGTAACAAACATAAAAAAGAAGAAGGGGGAGATAAGGACGATAGATGTTTGATAGGAAAGAAGAAGCAGCAAACCACACCAGAGCACCCGCCAACCACCCACAGAGTTAAGTTAGACAAGCAGACAGAAACAACAGGGTGAAGAAAAGTTAAAATATTGGTGGCACCCTCCAATCTTGCAATGATAATAAACCTTCATTGATTCTAAAAATATCTTCACTAAATTATTGGGACATTGAAGACAAGACATCTCAACAAAAGTTGAAAAAAAAAGGTAACACTCAGTAGCAACAATGTTTTGAAGTGATTGAGTTTTATTTTGTGACATTGTTTTATCCATCCATCAAACAATTTTCCAATAACAATAAAACAATACCTTATCATCTAATATTTAAACAATAAAACAATACATTCAGCTCCATCTAACATTTAAACAATAAAACAATACATTCAGCTCCATCTAACATTTAAACAATAAAACCAATATTAAGAGGCAGGCCTTTTTCCTTTTTGCAGCTCACTGTGCAAGATACTGACCGTCAAACAGAATCACCCCCCCCCCCGCCTCACCTCACGCTTAAAAACGGGGACAAATTGTACTGGTAATTCGACGTTTGTATAAAATCTGTATTTGATTTAACGGATTACTAATTCTACAATTTCTGAACACCAGTCTCGATTAAGACTTACAGACAAAGACCAGTTAACCACATAATTTTTTTTATTATAGGCCTATTTACATCACATCAGGACAGGGAGGGAGTTTTACATCATACTGCTCACAACACGCATTCATAGCTGCCAACTTCTCAACCCCCCCCCCCCCCAACCCAACAACCAATACTCGACCCATGCCGCTATTCAAGATGGTGCTATTCAAGACCAGAAAACTTCTGTCCAAACCTTAAAGTTTATACACACACACACTCTTTATGCATTCAATAAAAGCACGTTATTTAAAGTAGGTGTAGGCTATCGCAAAATTTCTCTCCAACTGACCAACTGGCTCCGCTCACATTATATCATTCATCACAAATCTGGTCTTGAAAAGTTCATAATTTTTTATCATCAGCATCAGCAAGCCTATAAAGTGCAATACTAGAAAAATGGAGAACACACACTTGTTTGGTCAGACTCTCAAAAAGGTATTAAATACTTTTGTACGTTCTGGTCGCCAGCTAGGCTTATTAAGTTTGTCCCGACACAAAATTGTGGTCATTTGAGCCGAGGACATCGCTTGCAAATTCACTTCCTTTCACAACAGTCAATAAAACGTATTGCATAAATGTCATGTTACAGTAGAGAAACCTGGTATGTTTCTGGGTTAGTCAGGGCTCATTGACAATGACAGATGCCAAACCTCTCTCTTAATTTTCAAAGCACATGAAATTGTTTGCACCCCCCCCCCCAAGATATTGCCTATTTTTCCCCAAAAAATAAAATAATTCAACAATACATTTTCCCCCTTAAGGAGTATAAAATATATCATAATGATAATAATTTTCTAAAATGAACACATATTACCGAAAATCCTTTAAAAAAAGGAAATGCAGGGTAGAAAGTAAAATATTTAGGAATTGCAAACTTTTAACCTATAACCCCCCCCCCAATACAAAGGCTGCTGAAACAATCTCACAACATAAAAATGTCAGCTGTTACTCAAGACTCGAGACAACAAATGATGGCGAAGTTCACGGAGGAAATGCCCTCATCTCGAGTCACCAAGCATCAGACTCTTCAAAAAGCTTCTCTTTTGGGGGAGCCTCTTTTGTGTCTGAGCCTGAAATCACAACAAGACACATATGACACACACATATCATTGGAAATATGTCTGGAGATGCATTTCAAAATATACGAAAACCAACCATCTTATTATTGTGAGAACGGGTCAGTCTTAGAGCTACAAAAGTGGTTGGTTGGCGGGTGCTCTGGTGTGGTTTGCTTCTTCTTTCCTATCAAACATCTATCGTCCTTATCTCTCCTATTTCTTTTTTTGTGTTTGTTACTCTCTTGCAACACCTCTAATCTTCAGCACTTATATGACCTTACTGAGTGGCTAGTGCCGTAAAACTCTTACTAAAAACCCCCCAAAATACAGCTCTACAAAAGGTCAAGTCCTTTAAAGACAGGGGTCCCAGGATGGGGCTAAAATCGTTATTACGACAAGTACAGACTTGCAGTTTGGCATGCAGGTTTGAATTGAGAAAGAAATGCAATACGAACATTTTTTTTGGTTGAAAATCCAAGACGACTGCCATAATATTGGCGGCTATCTTGGATTTTACGCATAATTTTAAAAATAATACTTCTCTGAAGTTTACCAAGGAATATGCTTGAAAATGAATACCTAGAGATCTTGAGGTATTGTTATTAATAGCATATCGGAGAATTGTTTTTATATCTTTCAAGAAAAGGAAGTTACGAGCTTTGATTGAAAATTAGTATCCCAGAAAAACTTCCGAAAAAATCAATTTTTTTTTCAAAATTTAGTCATAAAACAGAAAGTATTAAATATTTTAAATCAATTTTTACTATACAATTGAAAAAGGTATTTGGGTGACACAGCAAATTTCAAGTAAATCTACTGGTAAATTTCAGAGTAGTCCAGAAAAGTGTGTTTAAAAAAATGATGTTTTGAGAAAAATATGATTAAAAGATAACAAAAGACAATAAATCAAATGTTGTTAAGATACAATGATAATTTTTGTACACAGAGTTTGGTGGCATGCAAACAACTGGTGTGCCAAATTTCATGCAAGTACAACAATTTATTATTGAATTATAATTTTTTTAAAGTTGTCAATGCATCACGTCAAGTTCCCATCGTCTTATCAGTTGCGCCTCACAACAGCCTGGGACCCCTGCCCTTAAAGCCAATTTTCACGAGACAACACCCTCTCTAGTTTACTTCTGTAAATTATAATCACCCTATACTTATAAATAAAAATTGCATTCCAGAATTTTGGACTAGAGTTCTATATGGTCGCCTCAGAGCTCTTTTGTCCCACTTTGGGCAAATAAGTCTTCTGAGGCCACGATATGTGCCTGATCTTGAGATAAATATTCTAGATTTTATGTACAATACCGGCTAGCTGTTAAAATACACTTGCCCCCAAATTTTTAATTTTAAAAAAAAATGTAGGCACTTCGCGACCTCTGCGCTTTCTTGTCGTATCTCCATTTTTAATAACAGTGAAAACAGTTCATAACAAAGAGTGAGCTTAAGAAGAAATCACATTTTCACTGTTTAAGAAAATGGAGATACGACAAGAAAGCACTGAGGTCGCAAAAACCAACATACGGAGATACAACAAGAAAGCACCGAGGTCGCGAATTGTTGAGAGAATGAAACAGTTTTTTTTTTTCTCTCCTGTAAAAATTTAGCTTTCTGGGGCCTACTATATTTTAACAAGTTGCCCACCATTAGCTATTCTGACAGACACAAACAAAACAACATAAAAGCAAGCAAAAATAAAAAACAAACCAAAGAAAAAAGGAAAGAAACAAACAAAAACCAAGAGAAACAAAAGCAAATTAACGATGAAATCAAATCTACCATTGCCTCCCGCCGAAGACGGTTTGCGCTCGCTGGTCTGTGAAGAGCTGGGGTTGGTGTCTCGACTTGGCTTGTGATTTTCCTCCGAGGGACTCGTTTCCATCTCTGCCTCCGGGATTGCTGCGCACCTGGTTGGTGATCTGACACAGGAAGGAACAGAATAGTTGTCTTTAGGCAGTTGCGAGCGCTGTAAAAACTCTACTAGAACAAAACTAAACTAAACCTCTCTCTTTACCTCCAAACACATGAAATTTCTCTCCAACTTATAGTGTTGCACTTTGCAGTCACACAGCCAGCAGTACAAAAAAAAACCCCATCTGCTCACCCAGCCAGGAGAGTGACCCCAACGCACTTCTCAAGCCTGTCGCAGAACTGCACCAGGTGACCGGAATGGATAATTTTCACTGTCGCATTATTGCGCAAAGTGTAAAATCTAATCTCCCTTACCTCGACCCACACAATCTAGACCTTTCAACAGACAGACTGTTTCAACCTTGCCCGATGAGGCAAATCAAGACCGAGAGGGACTCGTCAAACAAACTAAATATCAAAGTGTCCCCCAAGCTCTTAAAAAATAACTGCTTCCTCTCTTTCCCTACATTTCAGTCCTCTCAATATTTTAGTCAAACATATCCACTGCCCCGGCCCCAAAACCAATATACTCCCCCCTTCTCCTCTGTTTCATTCCAAATCATCACCGATATAAAAGAAAAAGTTGAATCTTATTGGTATTGCCAACAGCCCAATATTTGTAAAGTGCAGTTCATCGCAAAGTGGCAGTTTGTACAGGTGATTGTTTTCTACGGGTAGCCCTAAGAGCAGGTTCTTCTGCACTTCCTGACTTATCCAGCCTCTTGTAGATTTCACATTTTACCAACGAAGATAACAAAAACTCACTCCTGAGAGAGGGACTGCCGATCGATTTTGGACGGAGGGCGCTCAAGGTTTGCGTCGGCCATCTTTCTCTTCTGACCCCCGGTGGGCGTGACTGCTGCTGCCGATGCCGATGGTGACGACGATGATGACGACCACTTGTAGGATCTGTTCCTCTGGTGGGAGGCGTATGACACAACGCGAAACACTCCGGTCTCCTGAGAAAGTGCCTTCAGAGCTAGAAAGAGAATTAAAAAAAAAAAATCAACTTTAGGCCACATATCACTTCTAAGCTATAAAAGTAACAAAATAATCTACTTTAGATCACATATCACAATAAAGCTATATGAAAGTAACAACACAATCTACTTTAGATCACATATCACAATAAAGCTATGAAAGTACCAAAGTAATCCACCATATATGTTTTATGAGACTGTGGAGACTCATTTTGGGCCTAGAGTGCATTCAATAAAAATATTACTTTGAATTTTATTCAAGCACTACAACAGACATACATTCATAGCTTCCCTTGCAATGTAACGTTCACTCTCCGAGGTCTAAATTCTATGTGTGGAAGTCTGAAAAAGTTTGAAAAGCAAACTGCAAACTCACCAATTTCTGCGTTCTCCTTTTTGTGCAGGGCCACAAAAGCTGACGAGTCAGACAACCAGGAAATCTGAATGGTTCCTAATGATCGAAAAAAAAAAAATAAATAAATAAATAACACAAGATATTTAGTTAGGTTGACCAAACATACTAAATTCACCCCAAGGTGGTTTTTTAAAACATTGAAGTTTATCACTACCAAAGTAAAAAAAAAAAATGTTTAATAAAGGGAACACGCATCAACACAATCATGCTTGGGAAAATGGCCAAAACAGGATAGACAGAAACCCAAAGAGATGAGAAAAGAAATAAATTTACATTTTAGGATAACTACTGAGTATTCAGAACCCCTACCCACACACAATATCCAAATTTTGGGGTTCAAATATGATCAATTGGCATTAGAAGATTAAACCTATTTATTCCCTGAAGAGACTCACCGTAAGGTTGGAACAGACTGTACAGATCGGCGGGCTTCCACTCTCTGGGGAACGTCACGTGAAAGACATGGTTTCTCTGTGGGGTTACTGAAAGATAATCGTTTTGTAATTATTATTATTATTATCTTTATCATAATCGTTTTGTAAACTATAAGCAGACAGACTCTGAGATGGATCCTGAAGAGTGGGGGGGAGAACAGAGATGGACATGTTCCGACTGCAGTGACCCCAACACAGTGGACAAGTAAGTAATTGTTTTGTAAGAGTTAATATCAAATTTTGTTTGAAAGATCGAATCAACTGTGTCCAACATCAATGGGGACAAGTTTTTACACTCATTTTGTAACAAGAAGCTAAAGAAATTTATTCTGGAAAATAAGAAAAAAAAACGCCCATCGACCCCCCCCCAAAGGTGATTTTTTTTCTTCATTATTTTGACGAACGCCTGATTTCACCATGCTGCCTCACATATCATGGAAACTGCTAGTATATGTATCAGAATTACATTTTAGCAGCAAATAATAAGAAAATAAAATCAGAAATGCACTCACAGTCGGGTCCGTTCAGGTCGAGATAGGGGATGTCGTTGATTCTCATCAAGAAGATTCTGGAAAATCACAGTACAACGAGGCTATGAGTGAGGTAAGAGATAATACACATAGTGCTATAAATTTATTCAAACTATGGAAATTGTGAAGACTTTTACAACGAGGCTATGAATGAGATAAAAAGATGATACACATAGTGCTATAAATTATTCAAATTATGGAAATTGTGAAGACTTTGAATACATCATACAGTACAGCATGGTAGAGTGACTTAACACTTAACCCTCTTAGCACCATAAGTAGGTCAACAGGTCAGCACTGCAGAACCAAAATGGCGACCAGCTGATGGATTGCTTCCAAGAACCGAATTATTTTAACTGTTTTTCAGAGGTTCAGGGGGTGTAGCAAAGAATTAATTGCTTTTGCTTTAGATCAAAGCGACGTGTTTCAATGAAATTTCACACACAAAGGTGAAGGACGTCAGCTTCTAAATTTAGAGAGGATTGTTCTTATTTCTAAGCCTGCACTAAAGGCGTGTGTGCCAGGCCAGTAAAAGCCGGTACAGCAACATGACGGGAAGGCCAGTTTAGGCCAGTAGGGCTCAAAAAGGGTTAAAGTACAGAAACAGTCGCACCAAGCAACTAAAAAGTTAGTTCCATCCAGCAGATTATCCCTTTTGCTTCCAAAACCAACTTTCACGATAAAATGTTTCAGCACCACCATTTTATTACAAAGCGAGTTTAAATATAGATTGATAGTATTTCGCTGTTACAGCTATAGACACAACATCTTCAAAGCAAAAGACTTACAATGTTACAATAAGAATATGAGTCTTTAGTCTTAGTTTTAGAAGAGGTTTTACGGTGCTCGCAACTGCATAAGGTCTTATGAGCGCCCGAAGATTAGAGGTGTTACAAGAGAGTAACAAATATTTTTTTTTAAAAAGGGGGGGGAGATAAGAACGATAGATGTTTGATAGGATAGAAGGAGCGAACCACACCAGAGCACCCGCCAACCATCCACAGAATAGAAGTTTGAATAAAGAAACGCATGTCAAAACCAAATAACGGTCATAAAATGCAAGGAAGAAGCAAGCCAGACAGACAGAAACAACAGTTTTTCATAAGAGTTTAACGGCACTTGCAACACAATAAGGTTATATAAGTGCCGCAGAACAGATGTGTTACAAGAGAGTAACATACACAAAAAGATGGAGGAGAGATAAGGATGATAGGTGTTTGACAGGAAAGAAGGAGCAAGCCACACCAGAGCACCCGCCAACCACCAACCAGAAACAAAAGAGGGAACGAAAAGAAGTAGGATCGACCAGTAGCACCCTCCAACCACCCGCAGAGTACCAGAAACGCTTACTTGTTCACAAAAGGCTCAACAACGCGAGACGTGGGTAATAGAAACTCATCCTTAGGACTCTGAAATGTTCCTGGAAACGGGAGAAAAAAAACAACCTTTGAGAATAGTTCCTAAAATATCCACCCAAACCACAGACACAAATGTACAAGCTTCACATAAAAAGCAATCAGAAAAATTAAGATGTATTTTTTCTCTCTCGTTCATCTTACAGATTTTGTGGTGGGGAAGAAAGGAAAGAACTAAAAAGTAAACCGTAAAAAAATTATAACTTTTCCAAATGTACAACAGGAAGTAACCTGATCAACGTAAACAGCTCCGCACAACAGGAACTGTCGAGTCAAGCACACTCTGTCAGCGCGAGCAATCCCGCTAACCCGCAACACACACCAGGTCCCTCGACACCACCCAAAACTAATTACAGTCATTAACCCAGTTCATATATCAAGCAGAAAACATTAGTGAAGAATAACTTAATATCGTCACACCATTTTATTTCATAAACCAAAAGGCAACATAGAGCTCCCTTACAAGAGCCAACACTGGTCCCCAGCCTGAAGTTATTGAACTAAGCTACAGAAGATTGTCAAACATTGTTTACCAAAAAAACATTGTTAAATATTGTTCATCTAAAAACTTCTGTCAAATATTATTTACCTACAACCCTTGCCAAATATCTTGTACCCCCCCAAAAAAAGTTAAACACCTTTGATCTAAAAACATTATTCAGGATCTTTTACAAAACTTGCTAAATACAATTTAAACAGCTTGTCAAATGTCTTTCACCAATTATTTATCTTTTACCAAGCTTGTCAAATATCTTTATACTTTACCTAAAAACCTGGTCATGTGAGCGAAACAGGAGCCTGTGAGGAAAGCGTCGTAGCCAGCTTCGTGTAGACTCCCACCGCCATCTTTGTATCTCTCAAACCCATCGGCAATGTCTGGAAACAGAAAAAAATGTCATAATAATAATTCTCATCTCTCAGAAAGTATTACTTACTTCTAGAATTTTTTTTCCTTAGTAACACAAACAGGACTACTGAAATGATTAACCCCCCCCCCCTTTTCCCTTCCAAATAAAGAACTGCTTTATTTAATGACTGAAATAATGCTATAATCATAAGGTATGATAAGCTGATATCGTAGTGAGCTGTGGTGCAGATGGATCTTGTCGAAATTCGTGATACAAAGTTTTTTAACTTGGATTGTTTGGGGGAGTTTTTAAGTCTCTCCACTCATTGGCTTAATTCTTTCAGAGATGGACATAAAATATGATGGTCCTGACATTTAAATAACCATACAATATTGAAAGGGGCACCAAACCCACACAATCACTCTTTACCAAGTTTAAACGCTTCAACATTGCAAAAGCTTGTTTCAGGCATAAAAATAAACAACAATACATTATCTCCACTGATTTCTTTTCTTCAAACTATCAAAGTTACAGAACCACTGTGTCAATCAAAGCCACTCACCGATGTTCACGGGGCGAAAGGGAGGCTGCTGGACTGTCAAGCGGACTTCATCGAGGCTTGTGTACAATATATGTTCCTGACGACAAAACCTCAAAAATTAATATTATTCAAAACAACCCCCCCCCCCCCCACTCATAAATACATGAACATTAACATAATTCAAATGCATACTGAAATGAGTAAAATATAGTACAACTAAAAGATAAACACAAAAAGCAGTTTGAAATTGTGCTTAGTATTAGGACTGCTTTACCCCCCCCCCCCCAAGAAAAAAAGGCACAAAAAACTATATTATTCTGGCCTTCGGACAATAGAGGACCTTGCAATCATACGGTGAACAAATACTGACCTTGAAAGGGTGCGTGCTTGCCATCAGCTTTGTGTCTAGTAACCTGGTAAGGAGAAAGTATACCCGTTGACATAAAGGCAACAACTGAAATAGACAGGTAAACACACATGACACAATTAAAAAACAAAACAAAAACCCCACATGTGTCGGTCATGTCAACAGATAGCAAGGCATGTGAATACAATTAAATCCTGTCAAAGCATTGGTCTTGTGCACGAAGCAACAAGTCATCCCCTGGGTTCTTCGTGCCATTAAAAGTATGTCCACGGGTGTGTCTGGTCTGTGAGACACGTGCATCTGCATCACGATACAGTGTGAAGGCGCCCAGACAGTTCCCGGTTTCAACAAAAGGCAACATGAACATGTCTCAGTACACATACAACATAAAAACTAACAGATCAACATACTCTATAAGAATGAATTGAATCTAGTCTGTGGGAAATCCCCGTTCTGGGGACTCATGACATCATAAACCTGTGGAATAAACCTCAGGACAAACAAACAAAAAAAAATTTTTAATTCCTGTCTATGCGCAAACATTTTTAAAAACAATTACGCACAGACGGATATAGCCATCTGTAATACGTCACGACAGCTGCATTACATTTCTTACATTTTAAAGATTTTAAATGCCCAACTTCCATTTTCCAGTTTACATCAAAGTCAGGGGAAAACAACAGGCTACATGAGCGCTGGCAGACTCTGTCAAGACTGCAAACAGTTTTTTGTCTTTAGTTTTAGTAAGAGCTTTACGGTACTTGCAACACAATAAGATCACAAAAAAGAAGGAGGAGAAATAAGGACCACAGATGTTCGATAAGAAAGAAGGAGTAAACCACACCAGAGTGCCCGCCAACCACCCACACTTTCTGTCTTAAACATCAACTTCTATTGAAGATATACACACACATACATAGATCCGGACACACACCAATATATACACATACATATAGATATAATAAAAGGGTGTACCTGGGAAAAACAGTCTTGACCACTGTCTTGAAGTCATCAAATTCCTGCAAAATTGATAGACAAAAAATAAAAATGACAGCAAAGTGTTGAACAAAACTGACATTTCCAGACAGGATCAATGAGCCCGACTAGAGCGACTATCAAGGCAAAACTTTTAAGTCGTTTTCTAAAGAAAGAGAAGAAACATTGCTTTAACTATAATGCTCAATTTAAAGCCCATGAAAAAAATAACACAATATTCATGCAAAAGACATGGTCAACATTTCCTCTTGTTATTGCTGCCCCTACATTTATTCATCAGAAGCCAACAGAACTTTTTATTTTCAGAAATCACAAAAGCTTTGAACAAAAAAACACCCTACAACTAATTCATTAAATAATACATGTGTTGCAATAGAAACTTAACATTAAGCTGAAGTGCAAGAATATCATATGTGGCGTCGGTGGCCTAGTGGTTAGGCTCTCGGACTTGCAACCATAAGGCCGTGGGTTCGAATCCCATCAGGGGCACGACGTTGTGTCCTTGGGAAAGGCACTTTGCACAAATTTTCCTCACTTCACCCAGGTGGAAATGGGTACCCAGTTATAGACAGTGAAAGATCTTGTCAGTTTGATAGTGTTTGAGAGCGTGAAATCCGCAGCTTGCACTGTATGCTTCCGCGGAAGCCGAGAATGTTTCTGAGTGTTCTCAGAGGGTCCACTGGGGTAATAATAGTTGTAAAGCGTATAGAGCATGCTCTTGAGCATGGATATGCGCTATATAAATGCAATTATTATTATTATTATCATTAGGTCTGAGAGGTAAAAATAAATTCTAAAGCATACGGAGCCAATTTTCTAGCCAGGATACGCCTGATATAAATGCAGTCGACTATTATTATTAGAGCACTTACTTCAGGGAGATGGCAGTGGAACTGGTTCACAGAATGAATGACATCCAACAGCATGTTGTGGCCCACAACCAATTTACCCTGAAGAAAAAATGAATATATCAATCAGTCAAAATGTACCACAAATTAATGGTTGTGAGAACAAACATGCAGGATCTTTACGTCCGCTGATTAAGGAAAACTATTCATATAAGCCATGAAAAATCACATAAAGTCTTATTTTATTCCAGATTTATGACTGTAGAATTAATAAATATCCCAAAAATGTGAAAACAAAATTTAAAAGGCAGAAAAGAAATTTAGCAAAAGTTTAAAAAGTTCTTATTTTATTGATCTCTGTGGGGAAAATTTGGTTAACAATATCTACTTACATGAATCGATCAACGTTGCATAAGTCTCAATATCACACCAATTCAAACAATCAAAACCCCTTTGCTGGCTGCCACTGTGTAGCACCTTTATTTTGAGCCACGGCCACTGAGTCAGTGACCACCCACTCATACACCGAGTCACCAATGAGTGCTTGACACATTGCGAACCTAAGCCCGCTGATTACTAGAGACCCCTACAGTCAATAATCTGAAAAACTGAGAAGAACTAAGACATTTATAAATACACTCACCGACTCTGAGATGGCTCGTATAACTTTTGAGAAGCCCACTTGAATGTCCAGTTCTAGCTGAGAAGAGAAAAACAAAACAAATATTTTCTTTTGTAGTACAACTCCACACAAAGTGTTTATTTTAATTGTACAAGTTTTACGCCATCATTGCGGGTCTATGAAATGGTATAGGTTGAACACCCCTATCAACACTGTTAGGTCACTTGAGAAGCGGGACTCCGAGTTTAATGTCAGTCTCAGAAAGGACCGAGCCAAGTTGGAAATTCGCATAAAGTGTCTTTCCTAAAGACACAACGTCGGACCAAGCTGAGACTCGACCCCCCCCCGAACCCGCAGCAATCACACGATTACGAGTCCGGTAGCATTGTGGGTGTGAGTCCCATGAAGGGAAGTAATCTATATTGAGCATCTCCGTCATGTTTCGTGGATGCTGTATGTATTCCACTCAGCCAGGGGGTTAGCCCTGCCAGGCCGAGTCGAAGGAGCCAGCCTTCTAAACCATTTAAATTCTGCCGTAAATATGCGCGATTAACAAAATCTAAAATAAGAAAAAAAAAAAAAAAAGAGAGAGAGAGAGAGAGAGAAAGAAAAAGTGAGAGTGAAGATGAAAGAGAAAGAAGATGAGACAGACACAAGAAAAAGAAATAGTGAGAGAGAGAAGATGAGAGAGATAGAGGGCACCAACCATTTCTAGAGCCTGTCTGCCCTGCTCCCTCTTGAGTCTGTCGTCAGCGTTTTTGGTGCGATGTACCAACAGGTACCGCTCTTTCTTCTCTCCTGTCACCGTCTCAATGTGGACTAGGGGAAACCTGGTGGACAAACCAGAGGCAGAAGAAAGAAACGGATTAGTAACTAAAAAAAAAAAATTCCTTTTATCTTTTTATTGCTGTAAAAATGACGATTTTCACATGTGAAGGGGTGGCTTTTTTCCCAAGACTCCAAAATAGCTTGACTAAAATCTTTTTAAAAAATAAGACAACTTTGCTAATCTCTTATCACAAATAAGCCTAAATTACTGGTCGAAAAAGAGAAAAGTGGCAGTCTTAGACAGGTGGATGTCTTGGGCAGTGCCTTTATAATATAGAATAGAAAAAAAAAATTGCAGGGTGGGGAGGGCTGTAAGTGGTCATTTGTACAAGTGACTCTCTTGTGGCCATTAGAGCAGACTCGACTATAATTAGTCCAGTACGACTTCACAACCCCAACCCCCCCCCCCCCATGACATAAAAACGACCGACACCACTGCGACATCAGCACGACCGCCAGACCAGTACGACATAAAAACGACCGACACCACTGCGACATCAGCACGACATAGAACGACCGCCAGACCAGTACGACATAGAACGACCGTGAGATCAGTACGACATAGAACGACCGATATGACCGTGAGATCAGTACGACATAGAACGACCGATATGACAGTGAGATCAGTACGACATAAAACGACCGATATGACCGCGAGACTAGTACGACATAGAATGACCGACACGACCGCGAGATGCACCCACTTTTCCTCCACACTCTGGTAGATGAGCTTCCTCTGGAAGGCGTTGCACGGGGGGAGGGGGAGGGGCTCTGACTCATCCGAGTCCAGGAAATTGCTGATCTTGTCACTGGGGAGGAAAGAATAATAATAATAATAAATTACATAGAAATTTTTACACATATACATAGATATATATATAATATATATATATACACATACCATAATACTGTGTTTTACGTACACGCATGTCGATTAAATTTTAAGATGTGATGTCTTTTTCGATGTAATGCGCATTGAGCATGTTTTAAGAAAATGAAAATGCACAGTATAAATGTTATCTATTATTATTGTTATATATAGCACTCAACCTCGATTAAAAAAACATATTTTTTTCAGTAAGTGTTTTTCGGCACTTGCAACACAATAAGGTCATATAAGTGCAGAAGATTTGAGGTGTTACAAGAGAGTAATAAACACCAAAAAAAAAAAAAAGAAAAAGGAGAAAAGATCAGGACGATAGATATAAGGTAGGAAAGAAGGAGCAAACCACACCAGAGCACCCGCCAACCACCCATCGGCTCTGAGCGCTTTACAATACAATACAACAAAAACATTTCTTATTTAAAAAAAAACCCAGTTCCCCCTATGTTGTTCCAGCACAGTATGAGCATGACATTGATGAATCAGCCCATTTACAATTCTACTGTGCATAGTTAAAACAGCTGGAACCCAAAAAAACGATGGACTCACAAGACGCCGTTGAGGAAAGGCTTCTGTTCCTCCGGTACGGGCATCGAGCCTTTCTTCTCGCCCGGACTGGCAAACCCCGGGGACAACAGCTTCCTGGCCTCCTCGTGTCTGCGCGCCAGATTGGCCTTGAGCGACTGTTCTGCCTCGGGCATCAGGTAAGGGATTCCTGAGGAGTGAAAACGATACACACGAGATTACTGACTTGACACCGCGTCAAAACAAAGAGAATTCATTTATTTAATTGTACTTGGCTCAAAAGTTTATCCACAAAGTCCATATATATGATACTAAAATATTACATTGAAGACGGATTGCAACAGTTCATTAACAGGGTGTCCAGCAATATTTCCTGAATAAATTTACTACCCAGAAAATCAAGCCCCAGACCAACTAAAAAATGAGTCCATTAATCCGAAAATCACAGCTTAGTAAATAGACAGCTTAATATAACCTTAATTGATAAAAAGGTTAACAAACTTGAAACTTTAAGGCCAGAAAAACCTACACTGACCTACACTCTCTTTTCGAGAAATTCAGCCTTGGATTGACTTATGAAGGAAGAAGGCATGAGGATATAAAAATAATTGCGCTCTAAATTTTTGCAGTACATGTTTGTACTTTATCCCTTTCCTCCAGTCTCTCAATCATACACACCTTCTCTGAAAACTTTGTTGAAGTCAAATCCTTGAGATATGAGAAAGTCAATACTTGAGCTCTGTGAAGAAACAGAAGAATCATTTCATTCAGCGCCAATATTTGGCCCTAATTATAACTTAAAAAGCTTCAGATTCAGCACGACATGATTTGCAACTGAATCATACAAAAGTCAGCACAGTCAATCTGATCATAGGACTTTTATTTGACTGAAAAAGCTTCTCTAAAAACAGTTCATACTTTTGATAGAGGTATGACAGGAATCTAAGAGCCTTCATAGTAAAATTAAAACAAATACTTAAGAATCAAGCCCTTGTTTGCTGAGCAAAAATCAGACTTACCATTCTTAAAATCAAAGCCAAAAGTCACTAATAACAATTTCCAGACAAATAAAGCCATAGGAAATGTAGAAAAATATGCTGGGCGAGAAACAAAAACAAATTTCTTCAGAAGTACAGAAATCAACACACGTCTGATCAAGTTAACAGTGCAAATATTACATTTTCTGCTTAATTCCATTCAAACAAACATTAGTTGAGAAGTATTGTAAAAGTTTTAAGGAGAAACATTTTGAACAAAAAAACTCTATACAGTTAAAGACACTACTGTTCTTTCAAGTAAATCTTTGCCAAAAAGCAAATATGATTTTTTCCACCTTCTCAAAGTTCCTAAACATCTTATCTTTACCTGGCACAGAAATCTTCTGTCGGGAGCTTGTCTGTTGTGAGGCTTTGGGAACACGTAGAAGTTGTAGGGACGTGCTTCATATCTGACAATAGAAATTTTAAAACTTAAATTTAAAAAAAAATTTTTTTTTAAAAAGATGGCATATTCCATTACCAAACCAAACTATAAACTCCATGTTTTGACCCAAATACATTCAAATGTCACACACACAGCTGAAAATAACGGAACGCACTGTTAAACGAATCCTGGCAAAAAAAGAGCACTGCGTTGTTCCTCTGCGAAAAGCGGGTTCGAGTTGTCACTTCAGGTTTAAAGAGTCAAGAGATATATCATCACTGTTGTTGGTGAGGAGGAAAAAAATGTTTTTCAATTGTAAAAATACACAAATATTCTTTGTTCGCAGTGTAAAGCATGACTATTATGCAGTATTCAAATATATGCATCGGTTATCATTTTTCGCTCAAGGACACATCCCAGTGACAATTCACCTAAACACTTACTCATTAGCCTGTGCTTGACATTTCAACAACCAAAACTCACGAACCACTCGTTACATTACAAAGACAACTTTGCTCTTCATTTAAGACAAAGAGAAGGACTTCCCTTAAGAGCTGTAGCTAAGAAAATGAAAAAAAATCCAAACCCAAACAAAACAATAAACAAAATAAAAATTTAAAGCATGCCAGGCACAAATAATATTTCGGAACTCACCTTTGTTTTTCAGCATCAACTTGAAATGTGCAGAGTCCGAACTGAACTAGAAGGAAATCTGTTGAGCCCTAGAGAGACAAAAATATTCTGATTACATCATGCTGAAAATAAGACTCGATTTTCATTCGACAAAAGAGAATGATTAAACACATTATAATAACAACTCAACTGGGAAGTTTTATGACAATTCCACACCCTCTTACAGCAGTAATATAATGATTCTACAAAAATAATTTTCTAACACGTAAGTGACTACCAACGAGTATACTTTCCTGACACCACAACCCTCAGGACCGACAAAAAGAAAGCTCCTTTTGAAGAATGTTTTTAACCAAACGTATCGAATCCACAGCTTCTAAACATAGGTTCAATGGGAGTTAACACATTCCGTCCTCAATTACCAGTTAGAAATAAAAATAATTCCAATTTTCACAGCAAGGATTTACTCTGATATATCTAAAAAAGAATAGTGGGCAGCCATGGATGGCTCTGACTGATCTCCCAGCCACAGGATAGGGCCCTGGTCTCTCAATAGTTAACACCAGCATCACGTTATCTTTTCCATAAGTTCATCCCCCGAGCCTCACCAGTCTCTGCTTGTTGTACCGTTCCTCTGGTGTGTCAAACGGTGCAGCGTTACCCCCGTCAAACGCATCAAGACCTGAAAAACACACAAGGTTATTGTCAGTCATTTTAGCCACATTAACTCCTTATCTCGGGCATGCCGCTCCTAGCGTTTCATAGTCAGAACCATTGTGCCTGCTTAAAAGTTTAAGTTCAAGAAGATAATCTTCGAGAAATACCACTCATATGTTAAAAAAAATTTTAATCGAGGAAAAACACAAGTACTATAATACTACATTAGGAAAAGAATACTGATTCCAACTAGCCAGTTTCTGTTGCGGTACAGTATGGGCAAGTCACTTATTCCTCTCATTATAGTTTTGACTATCAGGTTTTCATTTGTCGTAATCCTGATTCATCAAATTAAAAAATCTTTGTTTGGTCTAGATCACTTTCTGGGTTCATTTTTACGTACTTTCAAAGTTTCCCTGGAATTGCCTTAAGTTTCAACTTCATCACACCCTTCATTTTGCCATATTTATTTAAAAAGTTAACACACGCACAATTCTACTTTCACTACATGTACGGCCTTGTTTGCAGTCACTTCTACGGACACTATTCGTCGACCTCATAGAAACACATACCACGACATGGACACACATTAGGCGATTGAAACGCTGCACAACACTGCTCTATGTGCGAATCGATAGACCCTGTGCAATGCCGCTCTAGGTGTTAAATGTTTTAAGTAAGTAGAAAAATCAAGCAATAAAGCCTGAAACAATTTTATTTTGAAAAAAAAACAACAAAAAAAACCCTCATTTGTTAAAAATGAAGAAAATAATTTAAGATCTTTTTAATGTTCAGCAAACAATTGTCGACAAAGTGAATTATATCAATTGTTTGTCTGTATTTATAAAAATAGCATACTTTTCTCTGGATCACAGTGTTCTCAGGTACGTTCTGATACGGTTCTGTCGATGTGCGCAATCGGTGGATCATTCAACACATTTTGCATTATCTAGTCATACGTATGACATTAACTTCCGCTTAGTGCAATGTCAACAATATAACTAATAGATATGGACGCTCATCTGATGTTAACACCTTATTTCATTGCAGAACAACGAAGCACTCGACACTCGGGTAAGATCTAAGATTCATTGCCACATCTATGGATCCACAAAAAGCGCAGCGTAATCCACCAATCTAATACAGAAGGGGAAACAATCGATGGACCGATGCGAATTCAATGGATTCACATAATGCGATCCACCGCCGCACAAATCGACAGAACGTGCCTAACAACAGCACTGATCACTGTAAAGCAATCCCTGACAAAGTTTCGTCTGAACATACCTGTAAATTCTCCATCTATTGCCATAAAAGTGCAGCTCTTGATAGATTCAAGGACTGAGTCCAATTCCTCATTAAAATCTGAGGAGATAAACATGAAATAGATTTGAAGAGGCTAGCCGTACTAAATGACGGCTAGACTGCCAGTCTAGCCGTACATATTCTTAATACTTAATATGATGGCTAGACTGACCATTAAAAAAAAAAATAGGCCTACTGATTTGTAAATATACATTTTTAGTGTGCAGTACCTAAAGTATTTGTATTTGAGACGAAACCAGGTGCCTTAATGACAGTGCATGTATTTTAAACCTCCTGTTTTCTTATGTTAATAGGGCCTAAGATAAGTACGGCTAGACTGGCAGTCTAGACTTCTTGGCTAGCCGTACTTAAGTACGGGTAGACAGCCAGGATAGCCGTACTTAATATTGATGGCTGAATTGTAAATGAAATTTTTAGTCTGCAATGCCTAAAGTATTTGTATTTCAGACAAAACCAAAAGGTGCCTTACTGACTTGCATGTATTTGAACCTGAATAATTACTAGATCTAGATCTAATGAGACCTGTCTACTTAACAGGCTTGAGTCGATAGGGCCAAACCTAGATCTAAGGACGGCTAGACTGGCAGTCTAGCCGCACTTAGCCACTTCGAAATAGATTTTCTGGGATAAAGCTGTTTGAGAAAGAGTGAAAACAAGGATTAACTTTGTTAAAAAAAAAGTAAACACGGGTGTGACTGTGAGAGTGGCAATGCTAATTTATGGAGCTGGAATGCTTTTGATTGTTGTAATAGTCAGTTTTACAGAAAGAAAGTGTAAAATCCTACAAAGATAGAAAGGTTTGCATGTGTGTATCCCTATCATACATTTACAAGTACAAGGAAGGACTTAATTAACGAGCAATCATCCCAACAAACACAATAGAAGGGGGCCGCGGCTATTCTGACTCTAGTCCGAACAGCCGCAGCAGGCTATTCGGACTCTCGAATCAGAATTCGAGTCCGAATAGTCGGACTCAAGCTCCAATGCGTGTGCGCAATCACTAGGTGTACCAGATGTGAAGCAGCAGAAAAGAAGCAATTCGACCTTGGCCTTCTTCGGTTTCTACGATCTGGCCAAGGAACTTACAACAAATGGGCGCCGACCGTGGTGACCCAGCGCGAACTGTTGTCTTTTCTTCACAACGGATAATAATATAATAATAGTAGGGCCGGGCAGTGGGCAACGGTATGGGAGGGAATATAGATCTACGTGCAAAAAAAAGGGGTGATGGTGGTGGGGCGGGCCTGGGGAAGTAAGATGGAGAGAGAAAAAGTAAGAGAAAGAAGAGAGAGAGAGAGAGAGAGAGAGAGAAAGAGAGAGAGGGAGGGGGCCGTCTTATAAGGACTGGTTTATGTTTTGATCCCTCCCTTTGTAGTCGTGAAACGCAGTGTAATTGCCTACCAGTAGTTCAAAGTCCGAATAGCAACAGGAGACTATTCGGACTCGAGTATAGACCTCGCTTACCGTACAACCGGTGATTGCGCACACGCACTGGAATTTGAGTCCGAATAGCCTCCAGAGGCTGTTCAGACTCGAGTCCGAATAGCCACATGCCGTTAAACTTAGAAATGACGCATCTTTCTGATTGGCTGCTAATTTTAGTAATGTGATGTCATCACTTCCTGGGATACCCACATAGAACGACGTGTTTTCGGTAACATTTCGGATTTTCTAGCCTAGATCTAGATTCCAGGTTAGATCTAGATCTAGATCTATTAGGCCTACCTGGACATGATGGAAGACCGCACGAAAATTGCCGTAAACACGCAGGAGGACTAGATTTAGATAATATCTAGTTCTAGATCTAGATCTAGATATATCTAAATTTAGATCTACCACCCCCCCCCCCTCCTGCATGTTTAATCACTAATACATTTTAAAAAATAAACAACAACTTCAAAGTCAAAGCAACTCTACAAATTAGGCCTAGATCTATAATTTATGGAACTGTTGGTCAGTCGGGAGGAGGAAAAGAGAAAAAAAAAACTGTCCGGGACCGGAATCGAACCGCTCCAAAAGCCATTGCTCGACATCAAACGCAGACGCGCTATCAAAACTTCCGAGAAAATGGTGTGTAGATTAAGCATAATATACATAGACACTTCCATCTTTGGTGCCGTGCGGTTGTCTATACTTAGATGTAGTCACGTGATCGGAGGGGTATCCTGGTCTGACGTCAAACAAGATGGGCGCCTTACCTAAAAATAGTTTGCATCATTTCTACTTTTAATCGCATGTCGAATAGCCACTTCGATAGAAGGGACCTAACCCTGACCCTTGCTTTAACCAAGATCTAAATCTCTGTCTATTCCACAGTGATCTTCGTTATGGAATTCCTCCCCATTAAATAACAAAATCAAACTGAAACTGACTGGACTGAAAAAACAAATTAAACCAAACCAATCCACACGGGAGTTACGGGTCCATACACATTATCATTAGTACACACACTACTGTTTGGCCTACTGTAATTTAAATTATTTTACGTTTTCGACGAACGTGTATGAGAAACCACTAACATCAAGTACTCACTGTGTTTAGTTACTTCCATAATTAAAATTTGTGTACGCTTGACACGTACTTTCAATTTCTTGGTTTTGAAAACTACAAAAATTCAATGACCATCGTGCAACAACACTGCACTCGCCTCGTCTCGTTGCGTTCTCGTCGTAAGTCGTAACTCGTAAAATCCCGATGGTGAAAGGTTTTTAGTTTTCTCTCTGGATCATCAACATTGTAAACACCTTTGTAAACACACCTGAAACTCTTTTTGAAAAATCAAATTAACAATTCTTCGTTTTACATATAACAAAGAAAAAGAAATCTGAATAGAAAAAAAATTTAGATACCCTCCAAAAACTCCACAATGAAAGCATTTCGTAGGTTCAAGTAATTATATTTTCATGTCTTAACAAAACAATCCATGTTTTAAACCGCCCGTAGTTTATTGTGTTGATTGAAGATTCGCTTTATTTTCTTAGGAAAAGAAAAGCATCTCTGTGTACTTTCCAGCGAAGGAAAGGGTGATGTGTAGTGTCACCTTATCTTTAATCTCATTTGTGCAGTAAACATAATTTGTGTAAGTAATGGTGTTGTGGGATGTTTACATTGATAACAATGTCACTAGAGAGTCATGGTGGCCTCACCTGTACGCCTTACTTACTCTGAACTTTCCAGACTACTATATTATTATACTATCACTATCAGTATCAACTTGGGCCTCTTTATCATCTCTATCTCTGTCAGTTTCAGTCAACATCACATCAGCCGAGACCAGTAAGTCAGGGTGAGGAGAGTCAGTATCGGGCACATTTTGATTTCTTTCTGCTGTTGTTCCAGGTAGTTTCATTGACTCATACTGACCCTGTGTATAGATCTACTTTACACCTTAGTTTAGTTTTAGTGCTTGACTTGAACTTGTTGAGCTATTGTCTGTGACGTCTGTCAGTGGTGTTGTGGCGGTGTTCCTGCTTTACTTTAACCTTTGCCACCATTAACCTTAAAAGTTAAATAAAATAGTAGTCAATAAGATTAGATCAAGTAGTGGTCATGGATGGAACCTAACTGACCTAACCTAAACAAAATAATTCTGCCGTCCCACTTTTCCTTGTGGCTATTCTCACCCGGCCGGAAGTTCTCACAAGATCAACTCCTCCCCTCTTCTCTGTCTCTCCGTCTCTTTCTGAATACTGTCTATCGGTGTGGACGATCAAATTGACCAAAACAAAGTTAAAAAATGATGTTAAAACACAAAAGTAAATAAATTTGGTTGTCTACAAAGATGCTACGGCTATTTAACTTTTCGAATCGAGCCGAACTACGCGGGTCGCCATTTTGTTTTGCCCGGAAATTCTCGCGCTACTCCTCTCTCTCTTTCTCTCTCTCTCTCCACTGCCCACAGACAAAATTGTACGCTTTTAGTAGGCTACAATTGTAATGGAACGTTTGTTCACGGCACAGAATTCTACAATTTTTCTGTTATCACAGTGTAGAATTCTGTGGTTTAGGGTGAACGCAAAATTCGGTGAACGCGCACCGGGTGAGAATAGCCACAAGACTCGCCTGCACTATTCTCACTCCGGGTGAGAATAGAGGTGGCCTTTCCTTTCGATGTGGTAGGGATAGGGATAGGCACATCTGGGATAGAGTAGAAAAATATCGAAGTGGCTAGCCGTACTTAAGTACGGCTAGACTGAGAGTCTAGCCGTACTTAAGTACGGCTAGACTGCCAGTCTAGCTGTACTTAGATCTAGACTCTAGGTTTGGCCCTGTCCACTCAAGCCTGTTAAGTAGACAGGTGTCTCATTAGATCTAAATCTAGTAATTATTCAGGTTCAAATACATGCAAGTCAGTAAGGCACCTTTTGGTTTTGTCTGAAATACAAATACTTTAGGCATTGCAAACTAAAAATTTCATTTACAATTCAGCCATCAATATTAAGTACGGCTAGCCTGACAGTCTAGCTGTACTTATCTTAGGCCTAGCTGTACTTATCTTAGGCCCTATTAACATTAGAAAACAGGAGGTTTAAAATACATGCACTGTCATTAAGGCACCTGGTTTCGTCTCAAATACACAAATACTTTAGGTACTGAACACTAAAAATGTATATTTAAAATTCAGTAGGCCTATTTTTTGTAAATGGTCAGTCTAGCCATCATATTAAGAATAAGTACGGCTAGACTGCGAGTCTAGCTGTACTTAAGTACGGCTAGCCTCTTCCGAAAAATATAAAGAGACGAGGTACCTGTACAGTGAGACCTGCCTGTTGTAATGGCAATTTGAAACCAAAAATTTTAATTTTATTAGGGCCTTGAGTTTTAGTCACTTCTCTCATACTCATGATCAGAGGGACTAGATCTATCTATCTCAAATGTTTAAAAACGTCATTTTTTTGTATGCTTGAAATATTTTAAAAATAGATTTATGAACTTAATCATTTTAATTGGGAAAATTTGTTTTTGCGAGGTTTAGTAAGCAGTGTTTGGCACTTGCAACACAAGGAGATTTATAATTTAAGTGCAGAAGATTAGAGTTGTTACGACAGAGTAACGTACAAAGAAAAGGAGGAAAGATATACGATAATAGATGTTTGACAGGGAGAAGTAGCAAACCACACCAGAGCACCCTCCAACCATCCACCAATGCCCTATATATGTCTCGGTTTTCTCTACAAATTAGATTTGCATAAGATGCTGTAGTTTTCACACAAATTTTTTTTTTTCAGATTCATAATTTTTTATTTCTGTTTAGAAAATGGAACCAGCGGCAGCGTATTCTCAGACGGGAGCTGACGACTTCACGGAAGATGGTGATGAAAACAGACAAGAGGAAGAGCCATCAAATTCAAGCTGTGGTGGACAGGAAGAGGATGGGGCAGCTGCTGTGACTGAGTGCAGACAGAGTAAAGGAGAGGACAGCAGCCTCATGGCAAATGGTCATTCTGTTGAGGAAAACAGAACAGATAAAGAGACATTGAGCGGTGAAACAGAAGAAAATAGTTCAGCTCCTTCGACTGAACTTAGACATAGGGAAAAGACTGGTAAACACGCTTTTGAAAGAAGTTTTTTTAATGGAATAAATTGTGTGTGTAGTTTTTTTTAATTTTTTTTTTATTACCAGCATGTATAATTCTTTATTTGATGATTAAGGTGACTGATGTTGGCTATTTTCAAGTACCCTTTTGTCAATTTCTTTTTGCACATTTGTAAAACATTCATGGGAAATGTTTTCATCTTTAGGAACAAACATCACTCTGTTATGAGTCTTTAGAGACACAATGAGAAAGATGTTATATTTTGCATGCTGTGGTAGTGGCTCTGATGAGCTCTCAAAAAAATTTTGAAGTGGGTTTGATTCGGTAGGAGGGATTCCTGCACACATCTTAAGAATGATATGTTCGGCATACTTGTTAATTCTTACGGCTTTCATGTCCCCAGACAGCAAATTTGACGCTGACCTAGAGAACGAGTTTGCTTGTCCAGTCTGTTTGCGGATCGTGATTCAGCCGACGACCTTGAACTGCGGCCACACGTCCTGCCGGGTCTGCCTGGCCCGATGGTACTTCAACTCCAAAAAGAAAGAATGTCCACTGTGTCGGAAACGGTACCAGGGCCATCCCATGATCAACAGACAAATCAAGTCAGTATCTCTTCTATGTACGCCTGCCTGTCATTTAACACTTTGCTGTCATATCTTGCCGATCGGCGATGTTTACCCCCCAGTTTCTTTGGATTTTTTCCCAAAATGCCTTTGCCTTTGATGGCAAGAGTTTTGCTATTTATGAGCCTTGTGATGGCAAAGTGTTACGTCATTATGTGGCAATCTAGGAAATAACGTTGCTATCCAGTGTCGTGCCCGGGCTTATCCACAATCTATTGTCATAATGGTTTTATTGTCCTTGAAAAGAGACCATTTTCTGGGATGTGTTCTCATTTTATGCACTTTTTTTTCTTTACAATACTTTCTTGCACATTTTTTCGGTCTTTATTTCAATATATCCCTTGGACATAATTTAATTTTGGTAAGTCAGAATGGAGCGGAGGGTCACTTTCATTTTTGGCAATAATTCCTCACTAATTGATTAATAGTATTGAATGTTCTGAGTAAATTGGTCGCTTTTAAGCACGAGGGGGCTATCCAGAAAAATGCTGTTTTGAGAAAATCGAAGGTAAAGTTTTTGCCCCTTGTTCAGTTTCTTTTAAAAGACAAGGAGAGTTTTTCTCCATAACCAAACAAATATACACACCAATGAAACTGAACTTCTCCTATAGGTAGGGCAATGCCCACACGTCCTTAAAAGCGAGCCATTTCTGTGTCTATTTGGAAGTAAATTACAATAACATTCTCTTCAGCGAGTTGCAACCAGCCCCTTGACAAAACAGGATCATCTGACTGGTGAGATTTTTGGGTAAAAAATATTGTGTAAGCACAAAGCACATTTTAGTATACAGAAGGCTCTTGAACTTTTTGTTTTCAGAAATCTGTTGGAATCTGTGTTCCCCGACAAAATCAAGGAGAGGGAGCAAGAACTGGAAGACGACAAGGACGACTTGGATGTCGTCAAAAAGTATGACTTTGAGCTGTCCAGCCACAAATCGTCGCCTCAGAAATTTTCTGACATCACGTCCTTCTGTTCGGGAATCATTGTGGCCATGTGTGCTTTTGTGGTGAGTCGGGATCCAAATAAGATAAGATACATCTTTATTGTCCTGCCAGATCCTGGCACATTGGTTTGTGTGTCACCACGTACACACACACTCACATACACACGCATGTACGCACGCAGGCACACACGCGCACATACACACACACACATACACACACTCATACACACACACACACACATACACACACACACACACACATATACACACACTCACACATACACACACACACAAACAAACATGCACACACACGCAAGCTTACAGTCACATGCATAATAAAAATGAACAGCAATATAAACAATAATAATCTTAAGCTAGATACACACTCAGTATTCTGATTGTAACTCAATGTTATTCTGATGCATGCTCTGAGGTCATATGAATACTTACTACTGTGTAACATTGATAGTTCGAACACAGAAAACTTGAAATCACGCATCCGTTGAACTCTGCCTGCGGTCCCGGGGTTTTTTCTTTCTTCTTCCTTATCATTGTCTGTCCGTCTTGCTTTCCCTCAGCACTAAATGACCGTTATTATAATGATGCACTTTTCTTTACTCAAAAGTAGGTGTGTTCCCCCAAAGAGGTTTTATATTATAATACTAGAGCTAACAGCAGTGATGTCACACGTGTCAGAACATGGGGCCTTCTTACCCTCATCAACATGGCTGGCGTGTCCCCATTTACAGGAACAATCTAAGCCCCTACCCCGCTCCCTACGAACTCTTGTATAATAATATCAAACACCACCCTGCCCCCCATATTTCTGTGCAAGCTTGTAGATTCCCTCCTAAGACCGGCGAGACGCCTCCACGTGAGTCTCAAGAAGTACTCACCCATCTGTTGAACTGCGCTTGTCTTGCCCTGGAGGTTTAAGTCCCAGGATGGGCACACGCAGCCCCCCGTTGGTTTACGTGGGAGTACATCACTGCCATGAACTCTAGTACTAGATATAACCTCTTTGGATTCACCTAATACAGTAAACATACTTGAATGTGGGAACGTGGAAAAATGTTTTGTCGAATGTTTTATTTTTAGCGTTTTGTACTTTAGCCAGTGGTGATGATTGTGCGTGTTCCCGTCATTCTGTTAGGTGGTGTACTTAGCCTGGTACTGGCAGACCAGCGACGCAAATCTGCTGGTGAAGAAACCAGTACAGATGTGGAAGCCGAAAGATGTTGCCACGTGGATTGGAGAGCTGGGGTGGGCCAAGGTGTACGCTGGCGCTGTCACAGAGCGACAAATCGGTAACTTTGTCTATTTCAGTCTGGACTTTGTTCGTTTTTGTGTTGTGGGTTTTAGATTTTTTTTTCTTGTTCGAGACTCGTTCAGAGATTGCAGAAGACGAGTAAAAGAGATGTGATGAGAATGGGTGGTCTTTACCTTAAGACATGAAGACGTGTGTTGGTAAACTTTGGGTTCCCAACTTTTTGTCTGGGAAAGTCCAGAGATGGCAAATCTCTGGTTTTTCAGTTTTTTTTATACACTTGCAAATGAAAAGGGAGAGGTAAGAGAGATGTTTTTGTTTGCTCGTTTTTTTTTTTTCTCGACTCATTTTCAGGCTTTTTTTTTCAATAGTCATTTGGCATTCCTGAAAGTTGTTTATGCCTGCTGCATCGTAAGTATGAACAAATCATGCAGCTCTGACATTGAGACATCACAGGCAATTGGTTCGTAGCGTTGGGGGTGGGGGGGGGGGTGTATTTGTGGGTAGTTAAAAGTTGCCACAGATGGGCATTACTTCGGAACTCTCCCCTCTGGGTTTTTTTGGTCTCTGTCTTGGTTTTTAAAATTTAAAACTAAATGAATGTTATTGTGTCAGTGTGCTTCTTTTTATTTACGCTGAAACTAAGTGGTTGGTTGGCAGGTGCTCAGATGTAGATGCTCCTTCTTTCCTATCAAATATCCATCATCCGTAACTCTCCTCCCTATTTTCTTTCTATGTTTCTCTCTAGTGCCACCTCTAATCTTCGGCTTTTATATGACAGATTTGTGTTGCAAGTGCCCTGAAACTTGAATAAAAACAATTTAACTCTTTGCTGCCTCATTTTGCCATTTTGGCGATATTTACCTCCCAGTTTCTTTGGATTTTCCCCAAAATATGATGGCAAAGGGTTTAGGGCAAATACATGCTCTTAAATTGTTTTCCTTTCAATGTGAGATGCTCTGAAGGATATATTTTTGTGCCGTTCACTTCACAAAAGCTTTCTCTGCCCCTATTCTTCCTCAGATGGGACAATGCTGCTCTCTCTGGACGAGGAAACTTTGAGCGGACTTCTCAACATGACAGACAGCACTCACCAAAAAGCCCTGATTTTTGCCATCAGACTGTTACAAGACCAGGGTGTTAAAATGCCGGCTTCTTTATGGGAGTATAAGGTAAAGTGGACCTCAACGTAAATTATTGCTGGGAGTATAAGGTAAAGTGGACTTACACGTAAACTATTGCTGGGAGTATAAGGTAAAGTGGACCTCAATGTAAACTGTTGCTGGGAGTATAAGGTAAAGTGGACTTACACGTAAACTATTGCTGGGAGTATAAGGTAAAGTGGACCTCAACGTAAACTATTGCTGGGAGTATAAGGTAAAGTGGACTTTAATGAAAGCTATTGCTGGGAGTATAAGGTAAAGCGGACTTTAACGTAAACTACTGTGATGGCAAGTTGGTGGGGATTCAGAGGATTATGATTTACAGCTTAGATGATCAGTAAATTACTTCAATTCCATTTATCTCTTGGGTCTCCGAAAGAAAAAACCCCCAGAAATTTTTGTGGTTAAATCATAAAAAATATATGAGATTGTGAATTTCGTTTATATCTGCTTCCTGTAAAATGTTGTATGGGAGAGATTTTACATGAATTCCTAGTTCTCTTCCTCATCCTAGCTTTTTGGTCAGGGAGTAGTGATATATTGTGGGTGCATTTAATACTAGAAGTGCGAAAACCTCAATTTAAGTTCAGTTGAACATTGAAGATAAAGCATATATAATTTAGAATAAAGTAACTTCCAATTGTGTTGTCAGATGTTAACATTTAAAAAGTGCAACAGTCATCACATCATTTTTTTTGTTTTTGTTTTCTTATTCCACCCCCCTGTCTCTTGCAGGCTATATATCCGGGACGATGTCTATTTTTAGTATACAGCATGAAAGACTTCCCCCGCACCAGCCTGTTGTATCTGTGGCTGTATTTTCACGACGAAATGTTCATGCCTTTCCTGAGGGCCACCTCATGCAGCACAGACCTGAGCTTGCCTGCTAATTCCACGGTGAGTCTTTCTGGGAAATTACAGAAACTACTCTTTTTCTAGATGATGATGATAGTAATAATAATATATGAAGTGTGCTGACAAAATGAGTTACTTTTTGGATTCAAGCCTTAAGGAAATAGATACATCACGCTTATAGGTGAAATTTTTTACAATTTATAAGTATGAAATAATAAAAGACCGGTTATACTTAAAGAATAAGGCATCTATATAAAATTGACCCTTATGTTGATTTTTGGCCGGCGGTGAAACCGAAAGAAAAGAAAATCCCAGTTTTTTTGCTTTCTATTTGAGCAACCTCTCTAATCTGAATATCCTACTAAACAGAAAAAAATCCGACAATTCTTTAAATGAAATTTTTTTTCATGGTTACTAAAACAAAAACCTTCCTAAAAGAAAAACCAAACTCCTCAGGAGGATGGCGTCCTTGTACCGCCCGAAGTGACCACGGCCGAGTGGGTGAGCTTCCTGTTCTACACCCTGGTGCTGCCCGAATGGCTTGTGGCGACCTTCACCTTCCAGATGTTCGATCAGCACCTGTTCACCCCGCTGTTTGTCCTGGCCACGGCCTTCCTCTACACCGTGCTGGAGATCCTCAACTGGCTCTTGTTCTTCAAGGAGGAGGGCAGGTGGGTGCCTCGCCTGGGTTTGTCAGGTTTTTTTGTGTGAATATGTTTTGTCGGTGCCTCGTGTGGTTTTGTACGTTTTTTTTTGTGAAAATGTTTTGTCAGTGGCTCACGTGGTTTTGTAACGTGTGTTTTTGTAAATTTTTGGGTAAATATATTTAGTCGGTGGCTCCCTTGGTTTTGTAAGTTTTTGGGTAAAAATATCGAGCTTCAGGTTCGTGGCTCGGGTGTTTTTGTAAGTTAAAAAAAAAGAAATATTGAGCTCCAGGATCGTGGTTTTTGTGTTTTTGTAAGATTTTTGTTAGGATATTTAGTCGGTGGCTCATGTGTGTTTTTTTTGTTGTGATTTTATAAAAATATCAAGGCACAGGTTCGTGGTTCGTGTGTGTTTGTAAGTTTTTTGTGAAAATAATTTAGCCGCACGATGGTGATCGGTGATATTTAGCTACAGGTCGGTGGCTCGGGTGTGTTTGTACGTTTTTTTGTGAAAATATTTAGTCTCAGGTTGGTGGCTTGTGTTTGTAAGTTTTTGTGAAAATGTTTTGTCGGTGGCTCGCGTGATTTTGTAAGTTTTTTGGTAAAAATATTGAGCAACAGGTTCGTGGCTCAGGTGTTTTTGTAGGTTTTTTGTAAAAAAAATTTAGCCACGTGATGGTGATAGGAGATATTTAGCTAGGTCAGTGGCTTGCTTGTTTACCTTGCTCAGCTTCCTATTTTTGTAATGTATTGTTAGTGGTTGTAGGGTCCTACTGGTTGGTCCTTCTACTTTTCTTTTCTTCTGTTGTTCCTGCCTGTCTGTCTTACTTTCTACCACACTAGATGACCATTATTGTATTGATGGCTTTTTTATGTTTACTCAAACAAACAAATAGTCGTGTTTCATTTCACATCCTTGTATTTCTCAAAGTTTCCAAATTTCTGCGATGTTTCAGCTCCATGTATGTTTGTCTCAAAGTTCCCCTTATTTCTGTGATGTTTCAGTCATGTATGTTTGTCTCAAAGTTTTCTTATTTCTGTGATGTTTCAGTCATGTATGTTTGTCTCAAAGTTTTCCTTATTTCTGTGATGTTTCAGTCATGTATGTTTGTCTCAAAGTTTTTTTATTTCTGTGATGTTTCAGTCATGTATGTTTGTCTCAAAGTTTTCCTTATTTCTGTGATGTTTCAGGTCCATGTATGTTTGTCTCAAAGTTTTCCTTATTTCTGTGATGTTTCAGCTCCATCTTCCCAATCATCAAGCTGTACCTGAAACAGCTGATGTCAGCGTTTATGTTCATGGTGGTGTGGCCGGTGGTTCCCAGCCTCGTGTGCGACGCCCTGTTCTACGGCGCCCTTTACATCAGCCCCGTGCACGCCTCCATGGAAGTTTACAACAAGTTCCGAGCGTTAAACGAGCTAAGATAGTTAGAATAGAAGTCTATTTGTTAAATGACAGAAGATTCCTATATATTTTATATGCAGCAGAGTTTTACGCAGTGGAGTCTGCATAAACTGAACACTGTTACTCCGAAAAAAGCAGTAAAAAAGCGGTAAACGAAAATAAAGTAAAATCCCCCATTTTTTTTCTCTTTTATTTGAGCAGCCTCTCAGAATTGAAAACCCAGCTAAATGGAAGAAAATTTTTAGTCCCATAGATTTTGGATTGCCGACTCCACTACTTATAAATATGCATATCGTTGCTGTCGCAAGAAAAATGTTTTAGTCTCTTTTATCTTGCTTTGCAGGGTGAATTAAAAAATCTGGGAGTTACTTTATTCATTCTGCTCGTGACATCAGAGGTATCTATGTAGTGTTCTCGTATGTGCGTTTTTATTTTTCTGGTGGCATAGATACTCACCAAGAGGTTTTCAAAAAAAGTGAGTTAGCTCCGAGACCTCTTCAAGCTTGCTGTGAGGTCTACTTTGAATTTTTTATTTACTTTTCCGTTCATTGCCAGCAACATATTATCTCGAACTTACTTCTTGCTTGGCTTATTTCCATTATGGGAAATAACTGCTGCTTAAGATCGTATAGAGGAAAAGTAATTGAAGCAATAAATATGATTTCATGAATACAGCATTTTATTCCTCTGTTTTTATTTGATTTTTAAATGCATTTTACGTTGAGTCAATTTCTTTTATTGCTGTTGTAACTTGGCCTTTGTTTAAAGGGCATTTATTTTTTGTTCTGCATTGTTTTTATATTCCATCTGATGTATTACGTGAAATGAAAGGATGACAGAAACAAAAGAATGATGGGGCGATATTTGGGAGGGGGAGGGTGGGGTGGGGTGGGGGGAGTTAACACTTTGCAGTCACTTGGCGCAATAACCTTACCCTCCCTCCCCCCCCCTTCCCTCCTTGGAGGTCAAACTTAATATGGTCGCTTTTAAGCACAAGGGGGCTATCCCGAAAAATGCTGTTTTGAGAAAATCAAAGGTAAAGTTTTTGCCCCTTTTTCAGTTTCTTTAAAAGACAAGGAGAGTTTTCTCTATAACCAAACCAATATACACACCAATGAAACCAAACTTCTCCTATAGGTAGGGCAATGCCCACTTTTGTTGTAGGTCAAGATTTCTGGAAACCCCCGCAATCTGAGTTAGCCCGCTTGTCCTTAAAAGCGACCCTATGTAGGTTGTTGTCCACATAGCTCAGTCCCATCAAGAACTTGGTAATGCTGAACGTTTATCTGATGGAAAATTCAATTTCTGTTCAAATGTTCGGTTTGGGGCATGCAATTCCTGCTCTTATCTCTTAATAGTTGAATATTCCAGCTCTTATCTCTTAATAGTTGAATATTCCAGTTAAAAGTGGAATATTCCAGCTCTTATCTTATTAGTTGAATATTCCAGCTCTTATCTCTTAATAGTTGAATATTCCAGCTCTTATCTTAATAGTTGAATATTCCAGCTCTTTTTCCTTTTTCTGTTAGTCAAGTACTGTTGTTTTAATTGTTTGGTGCATTATTTTCAAAAGAAAGAGCGAGAGATCCTGAGGTGTTAAAAAGATGTAGGCCTACCCCATACGCTCCCATTGGTCAAGACCATACAGCTCCCATTTCATTTGTTCCTTTGCCTTTCATTTCAAGTTTTTATGAAATTTCTTTCTTCTTTCTTTGTTCATTTTCAGATATATACCTTTTGCTGCGTGTTTTCTTGCTTGTGCAAGGGAGGTTATGATATTTTCATCAACGTTAAGCTTCTAACGTTTTGGTGCACCCCCCACCCCTCCCTTGCTGTAAATTTTGATTTGTGTGCTTTCAGCCTGTATTTTTTTCTATTCTATAAGCTCTGCTGTGATGACACATGATATAAATAACCACTGATTTCTGTCTTCAATGTTTGTGTTTGTTCAATGGTGATTTGGAATATGCTCATTAGTTTCTGTGTTTGGTTTGATACAACATATATAGAAAATTATGACGTGACAACCGTTATATCCCATTTTACATGTAACCGTTTAAAAAAAAATAATTACTCGACAGCTTTGTAATTTTTGTTTTGTAATATTAATCAATGTGCTTCAAGATCCCTTGTCAAGTATCTTTTAACAATACTTTTGTTTTTGGGTGCAAACTAGCTACGCCTTGAAGTCTCAAGATTTTAAAAGTAAAACACCCATTGTTTTTGTTTGTCTTTATCATCTTTCAACCCTGCAGGTGCTAAAAAGGGCACTTGTAGAAGGGCTGTGTTTTTTTGACCACACGGATTGGCGACAGTACGTAGTGAGATGGCAAATGGCAAAGTGAGTCAATTTTGATGATTGATAGCCGGGCTAAAAAAAATTTTAAGGGAAAAGAAGACTAGGATTCTCATTTTGACCTATTTCTAATGTGACCTCAACAAGTTTAGAAAAAGTTTAGTGGATACCCTACAGTGAGATTTCGTTGTTTTGAGTGTCTCGGGGTCAAGGTTGAGAGAGTAGACAGAACGCTGACGTGTATTCCATCGGTGCTCTGGTGTGGTTTGCTCCTTCTTTCTTATCAAACATCTATCGTCCTTATCTCTCCTCCTTCTTTTTTATGTTTGTTACTCTCTTGTAACACCTCTAATCTTCGGCACTTATGTGACCTTATTGTGTTGCAAAACTGTAAAACTCTTACTAAAACTAAAAGTATTCCATCAACCGAACGGCTCGGGTGACGTTTTGTTCTTTCTCTCGGTTCACTCGGCGGTTCGTTTCCCATAGATCTACGCTAGGCAGGGAGAAACTGCGACCTCTGGGCCAGATCTCGCCTGTGAGAAATTTCAGTGGAGCCAGCCGTCGACCCAGTAATTAATAATGAATGTGACCACATTGCGTTGATAATTAATTTTTTTAAAAACTGTCTGTCTTGCAAATTAAAATTAAAAAATTTCTGGCCGATGGAAAGAAAAGATGAGATGTAAATGTAATATTTTATTTCATGAAATGCCCTTGAATGACATTTTCTATAATGTCAGTTTTAGTCTCTCTTTTGAAAGCTTGGGTAATTAACCCAATATATTCTTAGGCTGCTTTGGGCGTTGAGATTGTCGGAATCGCTTAATCCGGCCCATGACTTGGATGTGCTTGCCTTTGCCTAATCTGTGCCCTAACTCTATCGTCTATGTGTCCGCAGGGTCAAAGCATCAGGCAGCAAAATACAACTTCCTTAATGTGCTTTGTAGCTTTGTAGGAAATACAACGCTGTTGTAGATCTCTAGTTTGTGAAAACAAAACAACTTCATTTTTTTCGCGAGAAAAATGAGTAACTCGAAATTGTCTTGCTCAATATATGTGAAGTTAAATAAAAATGGAGCAGCACATTTTTTCTTTTCATTTCTTTTTTTTTCTTCTTTTTAAAATAAAAAAAAAATTGTTTGGGACTGCAAGAAAATATTTCCTGAGAAACAGTTTTCTTGAGAACATGGCTACTGCTTTTGCCTGTCTATGTCAATGTAATGCTAAACCACACATTGACTTTTATTTCTTTCTCAAATATCATACCTCATGTATACTTTTGTTCGTTTCTATAATCTCATGCATACTTTAAAGACTTTTGTTCGTTTCTATAATACTATACCTCACATATACTTTTGTTTGTGTCTTCAGTATCATTCGTTGCTTTTACTTTTGTGTGTGTCTTCAGTATCATTCGTTGCTTTTACTTTTGTGTGTGTCTTCAGTATCATTCGTCCCTTTTACTTTTGTGTGTGTCTTCAGTATCATTCGTCCCTTTTACTTTTGTGTGTGTCTTCAGTATCATTCGTCCCTTTTACTTTTGTCACACGTTGTAGGTTGGCCTTTCTGCCCCCTCACTTCCCAAGGTACTGTAGTCACTCTCTGCTCTCTGAGACCACCCCGGCTAGGAAATTTATGTTGAAGTAGAATACAAGAAATAGGTTTTGGTTCATGAATTGCTTATTCTTGAACCTTGTTATTTTTAAAGGATGCTTAATAAGTATTATATTTAAAAGTTTTGAAAAACTTTAATCATCAAGTGTTGTTTTATGTTTTTCATTAATCAGATTGTAGTATTTTTTTCCTCAAACTTCTGTTGTGACTTGAATGGCATGTACTCAGTATGTTAGTGTTTTAGCGCCTTTAAATGGCTGCTTGCACTGTATGTTTCCCAGGAAGTTGAGGTTGTTTCAGAATGCTCTCAGGTCTGCTGGGGTAATAGTATAGATTGTGAAACGCATAGAGCTTGCTGTTGAGTGGGGATTTGCGCTATACAAATGTTATCTATAATTATTGGTCATGTTTCTGTTGCTGCTGTGAGCATTTTGCCAAGATGACATCAGAGATTCTGTGTCACCTTCAATTTTTTCCCGCTTTGGAATAGATTTTCTTTCTTTTATTTCTTAAAGGTTTATGCTAATTTCAGAAAAGAAGATTTGCAGTTAATTTATTGTCTGACCTATTTATTTTGATAATAGCTATCTCTTCTAGACGTTTGTAACCTGATTGTTTGGAGAATGAGTTTGCATTAATTAATAATGTAAAATGTAAAGATTTTATCAGTTGCCATTATTTCATAATGATTGGAATTCTGTTTTGTCAATTCTTTTCCGTTGACTGGGATGTCTGTTTAAAGAAAAACGAGAAGAAGAATGTTTTTCCATACTGTGCTCACGCTCAGAAGTTAGCTTATGGCTTATTTAACAGGCAGGCTACTTCGACTTAACATGTCAGGGCCCACTCAGACTGTTGGGTACCCCCCGGGGTAGTGCCACTGACTGAAGTGTCTTTAGGCCATTCTCAAAGGGGGGATATTTCTCGTTCGTGCACAGTAGAAGTAGAATTGTAAATGGGCTGACTCATGTCACGCTCATAACTGTACCTGATCTACAACAGGGAACTGCTGCTTTTTCTTTCCTGATCCTTGCTATTGTCATTTTCCTCTACTTCATTTTATGTTTGTCACTCTGTTGTGACCTGCTATTTTGGGGTGCCTTGATAGTCGAAGCAGACCTTGTGCTGGTGAAGCTAGAGAGGTGAGCAAAATAAGTCTGATTCCCTGTAAAGACTTCTCTGTTGACACCCACCCCTTGGCGCTCATATGACCTTTTGCAGTTGCGAGCGCCGTAAAACCCTCTACTATAAAAAAACAACAACTAGACTGCGCAGGGTAATAGATCCCAGCAGAGAAAATGGAGATGCTCAACAGAATGTCTTCTACATAGGGTGGAAATCGTACTGTTTTTTGTGTTTGTTACTTACCGTAGGAGGCATGGAGCCCGGCCTTTACACACTGTGAGTTGGTGCCTGGAACACTGAGTTTGTGTTCATAAATGTGTGGCATTGTGGTGAAATCTGGCGCTCGTCAAAATAACGAAACCTGAGAAATCGGCATTTTTCTGCCAGTTTGGACATTTTCTTTGAATTTTTGTTTTTTGGCTCAACACCTTGTATGTCCATTCAAAAACACTTTTATGTGTGGATTTTGTGGGAAAACGTTGATTAAAGGCACAAAAAATGTAAATTTGCCGTTTCCAAGGACTCTTAAGCAATGGAAGTCGCCAAACTTTGGCAGCCATTTTCTCACTAATTTTACTTCTGAAACCGGGCGACCCCCACTTCCTTCAATCGCAAATATCTTGACTTCTATTCCTGGTAAACGGATATTATTCATCAAAAGCAAGACAAATGAATAACCTTTAAGGGGATACCAATAATGCCACATGCCCAAAAATTGTTGAACGCCATATTCCACTGGGTCGTGACATTTTATTGAAATGATTACATACTTTATTACTTACTTTATTTTGCCAGAGATGACTGTTTCAAGTTAGATCACCTGCCTCTTGAATAATGTGAAAGCTTGCTGTGTGTAAATGGGTATAAAGTAAAGCATATTTTGTATCATTCCATAATATTTCACCATTTGCTATGCCATTTCTTCACCATTGCTGTGTCTATGCAAAAAAGTCTAATTGTCAGAAATGTGTGTGTTGTTCTGCCGTGTGCTTGTGTTGTGTTGTGTGAACTTGCTTTAAGGGTGAATAAGTCTGTTCTCAGGTCTGCTGGGGTAATAGTATAGATTGTGAAGCGCATAGAGCTTGCTGTTGAGCGGGGATTTGCACTTTACAAATGCTATCTTTTATTATTATTATTATTATTCTATGGTACATCTGTCCATCTAGGTCTAGTGTTCTGTGAACTTGCTTGACCCGTGGCTAAGTTTGTTTTGTTGTACATCTGTCCATCCAGTGATGTCTGAACTTGCTGGATCGGTGGATAACTCTGTTCTGTGGTAACCCCCCGAGGCAGTGCCACTGACTGTAGTGTCTTTAAGCCATTTCCAAAGGGGGGACATTTCTTGTTCAAGCACAGTAGAATTGTAAATGAGCTGATTCATGTCACGCTCATAACTGTGCCTGATCTACAACAGGGAACTGCTGCTTTTTCTTTCCTAATCCTTACTATTGTCATTTTTCCTCTACTTCTTTTGTATGTTTGTCGCTCTCTTGTGACTTGCTATTTCTGGGGTGCCTTGATAGTTGAAGCAGACCTTGTGCTGTTGAAGCTAGAGAGGTGAGCAAAATAAGTCTGATTCCCTGTAAAAGACTTCTTTGTTGACATCCACCCCTTAGCGCTCATATGACCTTCTGCAGTTGCGAGCGCCGTAAAACCCTCTACTATTAAAAAAATGTTCTTTGGTACATCTGTCCATTCAGTGTCATGTACATGCGTACTTAACAAACAGGATATCTGATCTGTCTCGGTGATAAACACAGGGTACAGAAAACAGAACTTCTGAACTACACTGCCATTCGACTAGAAAATCTAGTGTCTAGCTAAAGCAAGTTCAAATGCCAATTGAGAAGAAGAAAAAATCAGTAACAAATAAACCCCCGTCTATAGCTACAATTTCAGTTCAAATTATCCAATCTCATTCATGATTGCCTACATTCTTTGAAATCAGAGAAATCTATACCAAATTAGACAAAAGAAGTTGGGTACTTTCTTTTAAATACTAACTTTGAAAAATCCTGTTTGATCAAATTTGGCATACATCAGGTTTCATATATTCAAACGACAGCACACCTCCTACGTGGTGTTTGCAATAGGAGAAGAACTCTCCTGCTTCATCTTCTTCCTCATTCTTTATACATGACAGCGTCAGACATCTTCACAAACGCAGCAATCCGTCGAAGTGCCTCCAGGTTGCCAAAAAAGCCTGTCGCTGGCTCCTGTTTGTAGCTTTTCTGGCATTATCGAAATCTGTCAAGTAGCCTACTCCGACAAAATCGAAGATCTCCAATTCTTTTTTGCCTGTCAAAGAACCTGGATTGGGTTACGCATAAAATTCCAATTTTTTATCTTGAATGCCATTTCCTTTACCTCATGTCGTAAATGCAATGTGTTGTAAATGGTGTGAAAATACACAAATGTGTTTGCAGTGTTTACGTTTCTTTGCAATATTCTTTTTTTTTCTAAGGTTGGGTTGTTGTTGTGTAATCTTAATGTACTAGGGTTCCGGCGACCCCCCGGGGCAGTGCCACTAACTGTAGTGTCTTTAGGCCATTCCCAAAGGGGGGACATATCTCGTTCAAGCATAGTAGAATTGTAAATGGGCTGATTCATGTCATGCTCATAACTGTGCCTGATCTACAACAGGGAACTGCTGCTTTTTCTTTCCTGATCCTTACTATTGTCATTTTTCCTCTTCTTCTTTTGTATGTTTGTCACTCTGTTGTGACCTGCTATTTTGGGATGCCTTGATAGTCGAAGCAGACCTTGTGCTGTTGAAGCTAGAGAGGTAGCAGAGTAAGTCGGATTCCCTGTAAAGACTTCTCTGTTGACACCCACCCCTTGGCACTCATATGACCTTCTGCAGTTGCGAGCGCCGTAAAACCCTCTACTATAAAAAATTTTAAAAAGGGTTCTGGCAACTCGCAATCTTTTTGTTCCCCCCAAACTCCTATTTTTTTGGAGAGGAGTTTGAGAAAAACTATTTTTTGGGGGGTGTTTGAGAAAAACTTTTTTTGGGAGAGAATTTTGAGAAAAAGCCTTTTTTGGAGATGATTTTGAGAACAACTTCTATTTTTCAATCATGGCATGGTTGCTATCCAGAAATAAAATGATAGTTCCAGGCTATTGGCTAATTGTTCTTGCTACGAGTACAGATGTTCCTAACTAGGTCAGTTGAGTAAGGCGGACATTTTGAAGGATTAGACTAGAGAGTGGCATGTGTGTTTAACCATCAATGTTTTGTGTTTTGATTATATGAGTGAAAATTCAAAAGTTTGTAAGTATTACATGACATGTAGTTCATTCCCTCGCTTGTTTTGTGTGCAGTACTGTGAGAAAGGCCAGTGTCTTTCTGTGATTGTATGAGGGCCGCCGAAGTTCCTTCCGCCTGATTCAGTTTGAAATGGCAAGATTTATTGCATGATAATTGATAGATTTACAATATCTGTAAAAAGCTCATCATTAAAGAAAGATTTGTTTCTTATATGTTTGTCTTGGATTATGGTTAGTGTAGGTGACCCTTATTTGCATTCATACAGTGCAATTTTTAAGCTGTTTTTTAGGTGAGATTTCTTCTGTCGGCTCTGTGTACAGAGTAGAATGAATTCAAGCTGAAATTGTTGAATGCGGGCATGAATGGCGCACTATTCCAGAGATTTCTTATTTTTCCATCATCAATGGAATGAACTACATGCACCTTACAGAGGATGGATCGACTTATCTTACTGCTGAAAACTTTGAATAGCTCAATGTATGTACGCTTTGTGTATCCTCAATGTGAACTGTCTGTGGCAGGACAGGTTTTTTACACTTTCTTATTTTTGTCTGTTTCTCCCTGTCTGATCTCAGGGGTAGCCTACCTCTACTGTCAGTTCTTCACCCACTCTGGAACTGCTGCATTTTCTTTCCTCATCCTTACAATCATCATTTTTCTTCTACTTCTTTTGTATGTTTGTCACTCTCTTGTGAACTGCTATTTCCGGGGTGCCTTGATAGTCGAAGCAGACTTTGTGCTGTTGAGGCAAGAGAGGTGAGCAGAGTAAGCCTGGTTCCCCATTTAGACTTCTCTGTTGACGTCCACTCCTTGGTGCTCATATGACTTTATGCAGTTGCGAGCGCCGTAAAACCTTACTGAAACTAACGATCTCAGGGGTAGCCTCCCACTACTGCCAGTTCTTCACCCCCTCTACTCTGTAGCTGATAACTGGTTCTCTCCATTCTGGCAGAAAGCTATTGCCTTTCAGATAACCACAAGCACATGGATGTTCAGTGTTCTTTCTTTGATTGGATGAAAACAAATCCTTGTCTCACAATGTGTATCGTTACTGTCTTAATGGAAATAATAATTCCACTGGGTTTTTTTCTTTTTTCCCCGTATGTACAGAGTCAAATAAAGTTGCTCTATTTTCTTGTGACAGATAGAATAAGTGTTGTGAACAAGTATTTTAACCACTCCAGTTAACAGGGCTATGGTGATTTCCCCCATGAGTTGTAATTGAAACCCATGAACCACCAATGTTTAAACCATTGTCCTGAATGATGATGGCAATGGTTCTCCTCATAATAATATGATGATACGAGCATGAGATCTGTGTACTTGTAGAAGTACATGATGAAAATTATATAGATGTATGTTTTTTGTTTACATATTGGTCTATTACTTATTTCACAGGTCACTTTTGTCAAATGCCTTGAAATAAAACACTTTTTTGTGTCTATGATTATTTGATGAAATAAATTAAAGAAGCGAATAAATAAATATGTACATATCAATTTATGTGTTTGTTTGGGATTATTTTGTTTGTTTGTTTTTTTTCAAAAAGAATCAGACTACGTTGATTCCGGTTGGTAGAGTTATTTTGCAGCCGAAAGAGAGAGTTGTTGAATGCAGTGAATATCAATGCTGAATGATAACGGTCATTGATGGCGCATTATCATTCCAGCATTTATTGTGACATAGAGTGGCCAACTTGTACACAATTCTTTTTTCAACAGGAAACTTGTGCAGTGTCAGTAAAAGAGGTGTAGCAGAGTCTCGCTTTCTTTTCTGTAAAACTTAAAGTGCAGCATTGTGTTGGACAGTTTAAAGTGTTGGCAACTGTTGCTTTACAGTTACATATTCACAGTTAGTCACAATTGCCAATAGTACTATTGTGCCAGAACACAATTGCTGGGACATTTCAGTGACCCAAGTTCAGCATTTGTTGAGGACCCCCGAGCAAGTGTTGAGTTCCTGCGTGCTGTCGGCATAGCTGACTGCTTATGAAGCCACAGCGCCAAAACGAGAGAGAGAGAGAACTGCCTATAGCAAAGGTCCTTCCACTCATCCACAACCAAATACATTGTACTTTTATCATGAGATGTACACTCATACGTTCGCACCCATGCTCACTCTTCAGGATTTGGCAGACCTGCCTATGTTTATGAATTTTTCGTAATATTACGAAAATATGCCAGAAATTTGACCCCGTTACAAAATTACGAAATTACTATAAACTATAAAAATTACGAAAAGCACGTCAATTTCATGAATAATTAATTCTATGACAGGAAGAGGCTGAAGAGTGCCTACACCAAGTAATTAGCCCCTCTTAGACTCGGAATCAGAAGTCTTTTCTATGTAAACAGTCAACTGTACACATAGAAAATGCATGTAAGCTGTAACGTAAAGTTTTATTCTTTTGGGTTTTTTTATAAGCCCCAACTTGGTAGAAGAAAAATCATACTAAATCTATTACTCATTTTTAAGTCAGATTACTAATTTTTGGCCATTACATTACCAATTTTTAAAGTCTCAACTAGGCAGGTCTGGGATCTGGTCTCCAGTGCAGATGTGGAGAAAATGCTACTGCGCCAGTGAGGGAGTTGAAGTGTACAAGTAGACAAAACTCATTCCAAAAGATTACGAATAATTACATTGTAAAATAAAAAGGTGAATATATAAGATACCGAAGTATTGTATCTGTATTATATCGCATCGCATTAATATTCGGTGACTTTTCGGTTTTCTTTCTGTAGAATGTCATTATCTTATAAAAAATGTTAAGCAACGATAAAAGAATATCTTGACGGTGCCTTGATTTCTTAAGTATTCATTATGTAGCTTCCAGATTGTCATGCTCAAAGTTACTAGATTCTGGTTCTATTTCTGTCTAAATCCTCTATAAATATATACAAAGTGTGATGTAAAAATGCGACTACAACAGGAAGTAGGAAGTGGCTGTGTCAATGTGTTGTGGTTTCGGTATTATTAAATCAAAGCTGTCAACAGAGACGGGTGAAGCTTCTTCTTGACAGGAGCAGTCAACATCATGCAGTGATGAGTTTAATGAAGCAAAGAAACTGAGTTTTAAATTGTTCAGACTGTTGTTGAAAGTGTTGGTCTACTGTTGGTGAACTGAAGATAAATAACACACAAGACCACCTGAACTCATCAACTGTTCAACTGTTTCTGATTTGACAATTTGTATTTTTGTGTAGGCCTTCTCTGCTGCCTAACTATCCCTATTATCTCCATGAATGCCCCCCCCCCCCCCCCCCTGATTTCTGATTTTGCTAAAACTTGCTATCGTGTTTATGAACCTGCACACATGACAAAGACTCCTAAAGTACTGAAATCGGAGTGACATTGTCATGGCTCTGGGAAGTTCAATTATCGGCAAAGTTCGCAGGCAGTACGTTATTATGCGCTATGGAAGATGGACAACAAAGAAAATGATTGCGGCTTTTGCATGCCTTTCATGTCTAGGGCTTGCAGTGTACTCTTTGTGTAAGTTGATGTCTTTTTATTTATTTTATTTTTTGGTGTCTTCATGACCATGTAATATAGATCTAGTTGAATGGTATTGTCCACCTGCTGAAACCAATTACCTGTACTAGGGCTGGGTCGCGAGCGCGAGAACGGAACTGAATCGTCACTCTTGCCGGCGGAACGCGATTCACGATTCACTTCAGCGGAACTCGGAACAGTATCGCCAAACGATTTCCGATTCCCTCCCCTGTCGCTGTCTACTGCTGAGTCGAGTCACGAGCGCAAGAACGGAACGGAAAACTTAGAACGGCTCCCCTTATTTTACAAAAGATTGTATAGTCCAACCCCCCTATTAAAACAAAATGAACGGGGTCCAACCAATAGACAGAAGGAATTTTTTGGAGCCATTGTTTTAGCGAATCATGGGGTGGGGGGGGGGGGAGTGAATTTATGGGGTTCACTAATTGAGGTCAGTTGATAGAGCAGTACAACAAAAGGTGTGGGGCAGAGAGGATGGCGGAACAACAAGAATGGGGCTCGCGCTCGCCAAGTGGCGTTGATATATGACACTGTTCCGTTTCAGTCAGTGTTCTGCCACAGTTCCACGAGCAGGATCCAGCCCTAACCTGTACAAATGACCACTTCCCACTCTCCCCCCCCCCCCCTCATATTTTTTAATATATTGATGAGGCCTATAGCCTATAGTGACACAGTCCGAGATGTCATCCGGTCTAAGACAACCACCTTTTCCCTAAAAAATTCTCAGACAATAGCGACCTTACCAGTAACGGTGTCACGGCAGGCAATTATAATCAGCATGGCTTGTCCACATACTCCTTTGATCTACTTGTAATTACATTAAAAATATTGTGAACAATACCCTACACATCCAATCTAACATATATGTAGTTCCATTAAATTAATGTTGACTATTTATCATTGTTCTTATCTCAAATGATAATCAGAAAGTGATCATTTTGCATTCGTTCATGTTGAAATGAAATCTTACAGAGATCTTAACCATGATTTCCTGAATTGACGCAGTCTTTCAAGTTTACTCTCACAGTCCTCCCAGGGGCTATAATGGACTATGCAATAGCGTGGCAAATTGAATATTTTATTATCTATGTTGTATGGTTTGAGATTATGAGGGGCTCAAACGTTTGTAACTCCTGATCTTTGTCTTTACCAAACAATTAAAAATTATCAATAATTATCTAAAATATGATATGGTAGGTGAGTTAAAGTTTGTTTATAAATATTTTCTTTTCTTTGGGGGATGCAGTAGCATTACAATGACAGTACATTAAAAAAAAATAACGGCTCTACCCTTTTTAGAATATAATTCTGGGAAGTATGGAAAGTTGGGAGCTTTTGATTAATGTTGTAAAAAATGTTTGAGAGTTGCATTTACAGCAGTGGTAGTATTGCTAGCTCTTCTTTTCAAATTTTCCCATGGATGGACAGGTTGACTTGTTTATTTTATATACTTTTTATCCAACACTAATTGCTTTATGTCTCTCTTTTATTCAGTTCATGCAGTGTTTACTATAGAGCTGTTGCCTTGGAAACCTGGCGTGGTATGTTTATGTTTTCTTGTTTAATTTTTTGCGTTATTTTGCACATTATTCTATTTTACTGAAGATACAATATTACATGGTTACTGTATAATTTTAATTTAATTCTTTTAGATTTTAAAAAGAAATCATGGTAAGTTAAAACGTCATTTCATTTTATTTCTCGAACTCAAAATTTTCGGATAATTGGTCCCTTTGTAGTTTATAGGTGTATTCAATTGTTTCAAAGCTTTTATTGCCTAACTTTAGTAGAAATATCTACATATTATAGGATCCATTCTGACTTTGGAATACGGAAGTGAATTAAAGTATTTATTATGGTAATTGTGTGCCTAAGTTATTGCCTTATTACAACTTCTTCGTTGTGTTCCTCACTTCACATTTTCCAACAAAAGTCAATCCTCCATTGTACAGGTCTCTATCTAATCCGTGCTTCAATCTTCAGGATAACTTGTGTACCTTTATCTAATGCATGCTTCAATCTTCAGGATAACTGATGTACCTTTTTCTAATGCATGCTTTTACTTCAGGACAACTGGTGTGCCTACGAGGACGTCCCGGAATATATGCTGACCCCAGCTCCCGATGAAATGACGGTGGTCACAATGTTCATCAACCTGGGTGTGTTCAAGAAGGGAGAGGGGATGTACTACTACCACTCTCCGCACAAGTACTATCGCTGGATGAGAACGTTCGGCAAAATGGTCAACAGAGTTGTTGCGTACATTGAGGATGAAGGCGATATTGAGTATTTCAGGTGACTAGTTGCTTTGTGAAAAAAATCCTGCACCTCCCTTCGACTTTCTAAGGATACCAGAGGAAGTAAAAGTAAAGTAAAATAAGCATTATGTGAAGCTAGCATCTTGATAAAGGCCCATTTCATGAAAAATGAAGCTGCAGTGACACTCAAAGTGTGTTGGGAGGGTGACCAGAGGAAAAAATTTTAAACACTGATAAAGCAGTTATTTTCCATATTTTGAATTACTTGATCCTGGGAGCCACACCATAGCACTTGGGGCATTGCCATACGTGCTTCGTTTCCCGCTCCAATATCCACCTCAGAGTCCATCTGCTGATCGTTCCGGTGTTCATTTGGTTAATAACCCGTCTTTCCATCCCCTGTTCCATGCTGGTTCTGCCACTTCCTCTGAAGACACCCAGTTCTTCAAGTCGTAAGATTGGCACATAGTCATGCTCAATCTCCTCATCCTTAAGTGTGGTGGCAAGGGCCTTCACGACATCCTTTTTGTCCATTTTAATGTCAGTATTGACAGGTGCATTGCTCGCCAGTTTGTCTGCTTGTTCATTTCCCAACACACCCATATGGCTGAAGTTAGACTAAGTGTAAAAGGTTGTGTGTTATGTGTTGTTTGATATAATGTAAAATACAAAGAAAAAAAAACAACAAAAGAAAAACGAAAAACCCAGAGTGAAAACAAGAACAGTTTTAAAAAAGTTAATAAATTGAAATACTACAAACAATGTTATAATTTGTATTTCCCATTCTGTTACAGAAAAGTGAGGTCTTGTCTGCCAGCCAGCCACACAAAGATTATCAAAGTGCGCAGGTCCGAACTCCCGTCCTTCAAACACCTGCCGGAGATCCGACGCATTTACTCCCAGCCCTCGTACCCCAAACGCGACCCTGACACGGTGTTCCCCGAGTACGCTTGCACCATGCACGCCAAGTACGACGTTCTAGAACGCTCCGTCATCATGGACTTCTACAGGACCCCGTACTTTGCCTGGGTAGATGTGGGGCTGTTCCGACAACTAGACGGTACGGACCACTCCCTCTTCAAGTTGGTCCCGCCGGAGAAGTTTAACCCCGAGCGTGTGGGGATGTCGCAGGTCATGCCGCTAGACCCTGTGCACACGCCGGAGTTTGTGATGAAGAACTCTCAGATCTGGGTGTCGGGGAGCATGGTGCTGGCCACTAAAGAGGTACGTGCATGTGTCTTCTTTGTCATATTTATTAGTAAAAAAGTCTTTTGCTGACATATGTCTTTGCCTCTTTTTTGTCACTGTTGTTAGTACTTGAGTATGTCTTTTGTAGATTCAAATCTATATATATATGCTTTCATTGTCACTGTTGTTTGTATTAGAGTATGTCTCTTCTTTGTCACTGATATTAGAATTAAAGACTTTTGTATGCATATGTCTATATCTCCTCTTTGTCACTGTTGGTAGTAGTAGAGTATGTCTGTGGGTGGTTGGTGGGTGCTTTGGTGTGGTTTGCTCCTTCTTTCCTATAAATAAAAATCTATCTTCTTTATCTCCCCTCCTCCTATTTTGTGTTTGTTACTCTCTTGTAACACTTCTAATCTTCGGCACTTATATATATATATGACCTTATTGCATGTCTTCTCCTGCTTCTTCTTCCTTCTCCTCCTCCTCCTCCTCCTCCTCCTTCTTTTTCTTATTCTCCTCTAAATAGACACCCCAGTCTCTAGTGAGAATGGATAGTTGGCGGGTGCTCTGGTGTGGTTTGCTTCTTCTTTCCTATCAAACATCTATACTCTCTTGTAACACCTCTAATCTTCTGGCGCTCATATGACCTTTTGCAGTTGCGAGCACCGTAAAACCTCTACTCAAACTAAAACTAAAACACTAGTGAGAAGGCCGCTGTTTGCCACAGGTCCTCCAGGCCCCTTAAAGTTTTGGCTCTCTGTCCAGGGTTGGGCCAAATATTTCTTTCTAATTCTAAGTACCTCGCGCATTGGGTGGGCTTGTATTATTATTATATTTTGATTTTTATTCTTTTTCATATTATTGTATTTTATTTTAATTTTGTTTAATTTTATTCGTTATATTTTATTTTATTCAATTTTATTTCATTTTATTTCATTTTTTATTTGATCATATACCATATTATTTTATTTTATTTTATTTCATTTTGTTTATTATATTTTTTATTTTATTTTATTATTTAAAAGAAAATTCTATTTTATTCATTTTATTTATTATATTTCGTTTTACTTATTATATTTCATTATATTTTAAAATTTTAAAATTTCATTTTATTTGATATTTTATTTTATTTTATTTATTATATTTTTATCTTATTTTATTTTATTTCATTTTGTTTATTATATTTTATTATATATTTTATTTCATTTTATTTATTTTATTTCATTTTATTTATTATATATATTTTTTTTTCCCCATTTAATTTACATATTTTATTTAATTTCATTTTATTTAGTCTATTTTATTTTATTTTATTTTATTTCATTTTATTTATTTTCTTTTCTTTTATTAATTTTTCCCAGTACATGCTGAACTTCACAAGAGAGTACAAGCAAGCCGTGTCTGATCTGCTCAAGGAAGGTCTGTCCAACTCAGACCAGGGGGTCATCTACGCCATGTACACAGCCAGGATGAGGCGGCAGAACCAGGTCAAGGTCAAGACGTACCTGTGTCACCAGGGACAGCTGGGCCTCTACGGCTCCGACTCGCGCTATTTTTGTCTGGGTTACGTCTGCAAGAACGCCTGGGAGAAAAGAGTGCCTCACGTTAGTCAAAGGTTACGGTCGGAGAAACAAAGATGATCCTCGTGTGTGTTTAGTGGTCGTGTGTTCAAATCTTTGTATGTCTGTTTTGTTCATCTTAGTAGTGTGGGATCATGTGTGTGGGATCATATGTGGGGGATGATGTGTGGGTGAGAGAGATTTGTTTGTTAAGTTTGTGTGAGTAAAGAGAAGCACATTGACACAATAATGGTCATATAGTGCTGGTAAAAAGACAGACAGAAACAACGGAGGGAGAGTAAAGAAGTAGGACCTTCTAGTGGTGCCCTTCAACCACCCGCTGGGAGAGAGAGAAAAACTTAAAGACTGTATGTAATGGTTTGATGCCTGTTGTAAAGACATAACTTTCTATGTCTGCTTCAGACCTGACATCTGAAGCCTGAAGAAGAAGTAGAAATAGATGAGAGTTTTACCAGTGGTGTTGTGTAAAGGTACTATAGAAAGAAAAATGGAAGCTAATATTAATAATAATAATACTGCTTTTGTTTCTATGATGTTCAAATAGTGTAGTTCATCTTGTGTGAGATCATGTGTGTGTGGGAGAGAGAGAAGAAGAGAGGTTGTATGTTATGGTTTAATGCCCCTTGTCGAGACAGAGCGTTACTTAAAGGGGGGGGGGGGAGGAACCTCCACATATCGACACAATAATGTTGTTAGGCTCTCGGACTTGCAACCGTAAGGTCGTTGGTTCGTATCTTGTCAGGGACCCGACGTTGTGTCCTTGGAAAAGACACTTTACACGAATTTTCCTCACTTCACCCAGGTGGGAATGGGTACCGGCTATAGACAGCGAAAGATCTTGTCAGTTTGTTAGTGTTTGAGCGCTTAATCAGCTGCTTGCACTGTATGCTTCCCAGGAAGCTGAGAATGTTTTGGAGAGTTCTATGGTCTGCTGGGGTAATAATATAGTGTAAATCGCATAGAGCCTGCTGTTGAGCGGGGATATGCGCTATACAAATGCTATTTATTATTATTATTATTATTAAATTTTTTACTCAAACGGGTCCAGTCTGCTAGACTGAGAACCCTTGAGACTCCCTTTAAAAAAATGTTCTTGGGGATTTGAATTGGTATTATAAGCACCATAATTCAGTGTGATACCAAATGAGTTGATGGTGCTCCCTGAGAGAGAAAGACAGACAGATAGACAGAGAGAGAGAGGAGAGAGAGAGAGAAAGTGGGGGAGAGAAAGAGAGAAAAATGTACCGTATCGTTTATGATGTATATTTTACGGCCAATACACCCCCCAAAGACATTCCTGCATTCACTTCTGTGTTTCTGCTGGTAAGATTATTTTCATATTATTATAATATTTTACTATTATTGTACAATACGGTTGTGAATGTTGGTTTACATATTTATATCGTGTTACAAGAAAATTGAGCAACTCCCATTTATCTCGCTTTTTTACTGGGTAAATGAATGTAAAATGATAAAAACACTGAATTTACTTATTTTTCTTGCGACAGCATACTTTTGAACCAGTTTATTACCAGGTATCATTCCCTCTTTTGGTGTTGTAGTTTACTAGACCGGCTAAACAATGTGTTCTGTCTGCAGGCTGTTAAGATAGATCTATATTAAGTCCAGAATTTTTTATTTTTTTAAATTGCAGAATCTTAATCTGTGGTATCGGTTTCATGTGCTCAAGACATATTTTGTCGAAATTCAAATTCTAAACATTGGAAAAAAAAAAGCAACACCCCTCCCCTAAAAAAAAAAAAACAAAAAACCTTAGCAAAAACCATCATGATGTTGGTACAATTTTGAAAAGAATGAACACATTTCTTTTCTCTGTTCTGAAAAATTTTGCTTTTTGGGTCGTTTGAAGAGCTTGCTGAAGGTTTACTTTGGTGCAAGACACTTCGTCATTATTTCCTTAAGTCTGTATACTTTTGTACACACATGCAGCAGAGCTGTGGCCAGTGTTTCTGTTGGGCCCAGCACACTCGTGGTGATGGTGGAGATTTCTGTGACGACACTTCCTTGTCATGACAAATACGAGTTGTGGTCAGATTATAATGTAATTGGTCGCTTTTGAGCACAAGGGGGCTATCCAGAAATATGCTGTTTTAAGAATATCGAAGGTAAAGCTTTTGGACTCTTGTTCCGTTTCTTTAAAATACTAGGAGAGTTTTCCCTGTACCCCAAAAAATATACACACAAATGAAACCAAACTTCTCCTAGATGTAGGGCAAAGCCCACTTTTGGTGTTGGTCAAAATTTCTGGAATCCCCTTTTCCTTAAAAGCGACCAAATATGGGTTGTGGTCGGATTATAATGTAATTGAAATTTAGGTTTTTTTAAACATCCCGCAGACACAATTAAGATCATTAAGCAGGTGGGCTTTGACCCTGCCTACTCTCAGGGCTAGTTCGACTTGAGAAGGAGACAATGTCGCCAAGTAGAAAGACTGAGACATTAATTTGATAAAAATGTTCTTCGCACATGAGTTGGACGAAGTGCCTAACTGCGACAAATTATGAAATTTTCCATGTTGCAAAAAAATTGAGTTGTGGTAGCCCCTGTCTATGCAAAAGTTAAGTGTTGTGCCATTTGAAATAAATTTATGTGGATCCCCTCTGTATCTGGAGACACTGCACAATGGAGTTTGCTGAACTGAAAAATGAAAAACTGTGGGACAGCGAGATTTTTTTGGTTTTTTGTTTTGGTTTAGTCAGGATACTCGAAAAGGCGGAAATAAAAACGGTTAAAAAAATTTTTTTCAGGTTTACCGCTGTTTGTTTTCGAATTATCCGGACTCGACTTAATAATTTATTAGTATCTGTGGCTGGCTCATCTTAGAGATTCTTGTGTACCGTCCTGAAGTGGTCATGTGTGTGTTGATGAAGTGTTATTTTTTTTATGCCTGATTCAACTTGCAACATTCCTGTTCTTTTTGTATACAATAAAGACAATGTTTACAGATTATTCAGACTAGTTGCAGGTTTTGTATTTTTGTGTTTGCATCAATTTAGGTGTAGATCTAGTTTCACACCAGAACTCTTGGTTTGTGAAAATCAAGCTGGGAAAATATTAGGGATGAGTTGGAAAATACTGGGGATGAGCTAGAAAATATTACAGATGAGCTAGAAAATATTAGGGATGAAGTAGAAAATACGGTGGATGAGCTAGAAAATATTAAGGATCAGCTAGAAAATATTAGAAATGAGCCTGAAAAAATACAGATATATGCTGAAAAATACTGGAAAATACTACGGATGAGCTAGAAAATACTGGGGATGAGCTTGAAAATATTAAGGATGAGTTAGAAAATACTGGAGATGAGCTAGAAAATATTACGGATGAGCTAGAAAAAATATGGATGAGCTAAAAAGTACTGGAAAATACCATTGATGTGCTAGAAAATACTGGGGATGAGCTAGAAAATATTAAAGATGAGTTAGAAAAAACTGGGGATGAGCTTGAAAATATTAGCGATGAGCTCAAAAATATTAGGGGTGAAGTAGAAAATACTGGGCATGAGCTAGAAAATATTAAAGATGAGCTAGAAAATATAAAAAATGAGCTAGAAAATAATAGGAATAGTCTTGAAAATACTGGGGGTGAGCTAGAAAATATTAAGAATGAGCTAGAAAATACTGGGATCAGCTACAAAATATTAGGTATGAGCTAGAAAATACTGGGGATAGGCTAGAAGATA